CACCGCTTGCTATCGGCCCTTCTCCATGTCCTGCTGATCGTTTCGCGTGCGCTGGCGAGCTGACGACTGAGGTTCTCGACCCGCATCGGATCTCATTCGGGTGGTTCGTCCGGTGTTTCGGTTCCTCCCCATGTTTTCGGAATTGTTTAACCGACAAATGTTTGTTGTTGTCATTTTTTCTCTCCCAAAATTTTTCACCCGGATTCCCCTACTCGCGGATGTCTCGGAGATCCGTCGGAATAGGATTTTGCTTGGTTCACCCGCGGCTGTCATCATGGGAGATGTCGTTGACTCGTGCAGTTGCGGTTCGGTCGGTGGTGCACCGCTTGTCCGCTTCTTTCGGCGGCTTCCAGAATCGTCGTCGTGCTGCCAGCCTGGCAGTGCCAGGTGGTCACCGGTTTTTCTGAGCTTTTCGTCGACCAGGAACCTGGAGCGTTCTGGATTAACCTGGAGGGGGGCGAGTCAAGATGCTTGACCGTCTCGCTCGTGCTGTGAGCTGGTTGGTGTTTTGTAGTCCGGAGAACCCATCAGCCACTCCACCAGTTCATCCACAGTTCATCCACCGCACATCCACACCGGAGCCACACGGCGCCACAAAAGGACCGAGTTTTGAAAAGCCCATCCGGTCTCCCTTTCGTGCTTAATTTAGCCTAAATAGCCTTCATTTTACCCAATTGGTCCTTCTTACGTTACCTGACGCATTCCGGTGGATTCCCCTCGGGGGTCTGGTCTCTTCTGGGCTTGAAGCCATCGCTGGCGCATCGCCCCCTGAGCTATCCCACGCAGAACCCTAACCCGGATCCGCTTCTGTTTACTTTTCAGCGGGTTTCCAGATGCTCCATCACAACCCCATGCTTTCCCATCCGACTGGGTCTTCCCCAGCCAGAGTCCAGACTCCGTGGGGATGGGCCTGGGTTGGGCCTGGGGGATCCATTGCCATGAGGCTCCGGTGACTTACTCCACACTCGCAAGCCACATTCAGAGGCCCTCAACCAGTCAGACACTCTCCTCCTCCAAAGCTGCTGGCTGTCCATCACACTGCATCCCCATGAAATCCAATTTCCCCGGCCTTTGTCTCTCCATGTCTCTCCGGGGGTCCGCCCAGGATGATCCCACACGGGGTTGGATGAGAAGTTCGTCTCGGAGTGCTTGCAGCTCTGCAGCTTCCTGCGCAAGTGCCGGCTTCGCCTCCCCATCCATGCTTACACAGCGGCGCCAGGGCCGAACTTGGGCGGGGATGGCCCGTAAGCATCTGGTCCAGTTTCTTTTGGTCTCGTGACAGTTCGAAGTCGTTCGCGATGCCGAGGACGAAGAGGAAATTGTCGGTGACCCCGGATCCATCCACATATTTTTGGTAGATCTGGGGGGGAGGAAGGGGGAAGAGTGGACATTGACAGGAGGAAGGATGCAGTACATAAAGACAAAGCTTCGTCGTCTCCAAAGAAGCTTTTTCTGTCATTCCTTATTATAGCTGCATCCTCATCTCCATCCTAACTCGACGGAAGTAGATTCCCCGGGTTTCATTGTAGTCTCTTGCATTTCTTCTTCCGTCCTCCCGAAAAACCAACCTTTCCCAAGACGGGTTCGACAAGAAACAACTCGACAAGAACACCATCAAAACGACACATCCTGACACAACGACAAGCGAAATGGAGCAAGATCACTCCGCCTCCGACGTCGAGAAGGAGGCCGTCACTGTGGCCCGGCCACAGGGCGATGTCTCCCGCGTCGAGGCTCCCGTTACCCTCAAGGCGTACATGATGTGCGTCTTTGCCGCTTTCGGCGGTATCTTCTTCGGCTACGATTCCGGTTACATCTCTGGTGTCATGGGCATGAAGTACTTTATCGAAACCATCAACGGACCCGGCGCCACCGCCCTGGCTTCCCAGGAAAAGTCGCTCATCACCTCTATTCTCTCTGCCGGTACCTTCTTTGGCGCCCTCATGGGCGGTGATCTCGCTGACTGGGTTGGCCGTCGTCCTACCATCATCTTCGGCTGCGCCGTCTTCATGATCGGTGTCATTCTCCAGACTGCCTCCCAGAGCTTGGGTCTCATCGTTGCCGGCCGTGTCGTCGCTGGTTTCGGTGTCGGTTTCGTCTCGGCTATTATCATTCTGTACATGTCTGAGATCGCGCCTCGCAAGGTCCGCGGTGCTCTCGTGTCCGGCTACCAGTTCTGCATCTGCTTGGGTCTGCTCGTGGCCTCGTGCGTTGACTACGGCACCCAGAACCGCACCGACAGCGGCTCCTACAGAATCCCTATCGGTCTCCAGATGGCCTGGGCTCTCATTCTTGGTACCGGTATCTTCCTCCTCCCTGAATCCCCTCGCTTCTTCGTTAAGAAGGGCAAGCTGGACCAGGCCGCCGTCGTGCTCTCCCGCCTGCGCGACCAGCCGCTCGATTCCGACTACGTCAGGGATGAGCTTGCCGAGATCATTGCCAACCACGAGTTCGAGATGGCCGTCGTCCCCCACGGCAACTACTTCCAGCAGTGGGCCAACTGCTTCCGCGGCTCCATCTGGCAGGGCGGTTCTTACCTCCGCCGCACCATTCTCGGCACTTCCATGCAGATGATGCAGCAGTGGACGGGAATCAACTTCATCTTCTACTTTGGCACCACCTTCTTCCAGCAGCTCGGCACCATTACCGACCCCTTCCTGATGTCCCTGGTTACTACTCTTGTCAACGTCTGCTCCACCCCCATCTCCTTCTACACCATGGAGAAGCTCGGCCGTCGTACCCTCCTCATCTGGGGCGCTCTCGGCATGCTTATCTGCGAGTTTATCGTCGCCATCGTTGGTACCTGCAAGCCTGATGATACCGTGGCCATCAAGGCCATGCTCGCCTTCATCTGCATCTACATCTTCTGCTTTGCTACCACCTGGGGTCCTGCTTCCTGGGTCGTCATCGGCGAGGTTTTCCCTCTTCCCATTCGTGCCAAGGGTGTTGCCCTTTCCACCGCCTCCAACTGGCTCTGTAAGTTTTCTTTCCTGTCAGTCTCAAAGTCTCAAAAACAGTTTGACTAACCTTTTTTTTTTTTTTCTCAAAAAGGGAACTGCATCATCGCCGTCATCACCCCCTACATGGTCGACAAGGACAAGGGCAACCTGGGCCCCAAGGTGTTCTACATCTGGGGTGGCCTCTGCACCTGCTGCTTCTTCTACGCCTACATGCTCGTCCCCGAGACCAAGGGCCTCACCCTCGAGCAGGTCGACCAGATGCTTTCCGAGTCTACCCCCCGCACCTCGGCCAAGTGGAAGCCTCACACCACGTATGCTGCTGAGATGGGCATGACCGAGAAGACTGTTGCTGGCCACGCTGAGAACCGCAGCGACAGCGAGTAAAGAGAACGACTCAAAAAAAAAAAGAGAATGAAAGAAAGAAAGAGAGAAAGAGAGAGAAAGAGAGAGAGAGAGAGAAAGAGAGAGAAAGGAAGAAATGGATGGATGATACCCTGATGTTGCATGGTTGAAAGAAGAACAACAACAACCCAAACACAAAGCGGTGGGAATGGGATGCATATGTTGATTTTTTTTATGATTTTTATTAGCATTTACGCTTTGCATGAGCAGCATGAGCATTCCACATGGGTTTGGACAAGAAGCAATTTACTTGGGATACAAAAAGGGGGGAAAGGAAAAAGACTTCCTCCTTGGGATATATTTCTTAATGTTTACAAGACAACTGAAATAAAAAGTTGATCACTCACAACATGATTCCGCTTTCCAGCTTTTGCATGCTGTGTGATGTTGGACTGATTGATGGGCGATCGGTTTCGGAATAGGATCTTGGGCGCTTGGAACCACGGGACACAGCTAGACTGCACGGACCACGTGACTTGACTTAACAGATGCTAACAAGTCTACTGCCGCTGCACGAGACACTACGATATGGTAACCCCAAAACGGGTTTGTAGGAGTGAGAGGAAGATAAATCATCCATAAGATGCATCAGGATCTGTTCCAAAGCCTTCATCCAAGTTTGGAAGTATGGTATTAAGTAAGGCACGAGAGCATGAGCCTGCAGCTCAAAGTCATGATATTAAGGTTTCTGCCACTTTCTGCCACCGCCTTTGACGGTTGTTGCTGTTTGGAACTCTGTCTCATGGAGCTGAGCTCAAAGAGCCCGTGCACGCAGGCTTGAACCGAGCTCGCCGAGCAAGCCGTCCGAGTCGTGTAAGTCAATTGAGCCAATCATCGCACGTGATTTGACACCACTGACGCAACCGATTCTCCAATTCTTTGACTGCTTCTTCCAAAAAACCGGTCCACATCTTTCTCCTTTCAACAAACCTCACAGTTTCGAATTCCTCATTTCCACACGTTATTGAAACTGGATAACCGGTGGTTGATCTCCCGCTTGTTCATTGATTCCGGCACATCTGGTTGGCCCAATGCCTCCCAACTGGTCCCGATTGGGAAATGGTCTCAACCGTTTTGTTTGCACGCACTCCTGGGCGATGATGTCAACAAGCGCTGGATGATCCAGTGACCTCATCACTCAGCCAGCTGAACCCTTTACTTGGGAAAGTTGGGGTCAACTGAGGTCATAGCCTTCAGTTACTATGAAGCGGACGGCCCGGTTCATGGGAATCTAGGTATTCCAGATCCTGTCGATTGTAGATTCCCCGCGCAGAAGACCCCTTTTTGATTCCCGGAAACGAGGGGATGGAGATGGAATACTGAAAAGTATGACGCTGCTGCACGTCAGGACCGCATTGCATCCAGACGGTACCTACCTCTACTTATTACCCTGGGGAAGGACCGTTTCTGCCATCTGATATCTTCTCGGTTTCCCTCCTCTACTGATCACTTTCCGTCTGTCATCCCATCCCCATCCCCCATATACCACACACATCTCAACGACAATTACGACTTTCCTCTTTTGTGTAGAGCCATCCTGTGTTTTGTCCTGTTTTGTCTGCTTGATACCCATACCACATCTCCCATTATCAAACTAATCCAACACACTATCTACGACTCTCCGACAACACACATACAATGGCTACTACACACCGTGAGCATCTTCCGGGCGCCTATCCCGACTCCAACCCGGCCACCCCCAACGAGCAGGGCCAGGCGGCGCCGCTGAACCAGAGCTACATCCAAGGCCACGACCAGCGAAACAAGCTTCACAAGTCCACCAACCCCCGCTCCCACAACTTTTCCGACTCCCGCCTTGGCAGCATCGAGTCCCAACCCATCGAGAACGAGTCCGAAATCAGCCAGAGACACTTCTACGGAAACTCGTCAGGCGAAGCCGTTGGCGGCGGCTTCTACAACCACGGCAATGATCCGACCATGTCCAACTCCCAGCACCCGCGTGTCTCCCAAGTCCCGCAGCGCACCCTCCCCATGGAGGACACAGACCGAGAGGCCGCTTTTGGCGACCAACACGAATACACCTTTTCCAAGCCCGTTCCGACCGACGCTCGCCAAGCTCCCGAACAGGGTTTCCGTCAAGTCGACTCCCGCCCCGAGGTTGACTCCCACCCCGACGTGGCTACCTCCAGCCAAGGCGCCGACGAGCAGCTTTCCAACATCGGCGACAAGTCCAGCAACGACGACGCCACCTCGCGCACTAGCCACACCAGCGGTGCTGCCCCTTACTGGGGAGATCTTCCCAAGGCCTCCCAAGGCGGTATTTACAACACGGTCACCGGTCATGGCAGTGCTCGGGATGATCATGATGAGCACCATCACCTACCTCAAAACAGTCAAAGGTCAGCAGAAGACTCTGACAGCAGGTTACACATTACGGGCCTCGGTACTGACGTTCCAAGTGGTGGCGTTTACAACACTGTCGCGGGCCATGGAAGCAACGACGAGGAGAGCAGGCGTCATCTGGAGGACAGCAACAACAACAACAATAACCTTAAGGTGAATATTCCTGAGCCTGGTCATGTCGGCGCACCTACTATTAAAAGCACCGATGCTGTCCTTGATGCGCCGTTGGCTGCTGTCCCCGAGGACAAGACGTTGGCTTCTGACAGCTTCTCTCAGGTGCCCACTACATCTGCTGGCTCCAACGCCCAGAACAGTGACGTCAAGGCCCAACGCGCTTTTCCCTTGGCTGCCAAGCACGCGACCACTGCTGACGTCGCTATGGCCAAGGACGATGCTGCCTCGTCTCCCAACCAGCACCCTTTGCGTCACAAGGATGCGTTTGTTGCCGGCGCTGCTGGTCTTGGTGCGGGTGCCGCCGCCTCCCATCTGGCCAAGAAGCACCAGGATGATGAGCTCCGCCATATTAAGGACAGGGACACCCATCCTAGTGGTGCTGCCGCTGTCAGTCACAGAAGGAAGAGCCAGGAACTCAACGAGGCCGGCGTCATCCCCATTTCTGGCAGCACGTTGGAGAAAATGAAGGCCAAGGAGGAGGAGAAGCCCCTTGGAGAAGATACCCTCGATGTTTGGGACATCACCCCGGAGAACTTGCAAAAGCCCGCGACCCGCCACACTGCCCACGACGCGAATGTCCAGAAGCCTGCTGCTGAGCACAGACTCGCAAAGGAGCCATCGCCCGCTGAGAGCAGGCGCAGCGAGGACTCATCCTCCAAGGGAGAGAAGAAGCACCGCGGTCTTCTCGGCATCTTCCACCGCCACAAGGACGACAAGGAAGAGCACACCACCACCACTGAGCCTCCCAAGAGTCCCAAAGACAAGGGCCACAACAAGTTGGCGAAGAAGGATGCTGCTTTGGCCGGCACTGGAGCTGCTGCTGGCTACGGTCTTGCCCACCACCACAAGAAGGACGACAAGGACGCCGCCAACCAGAACCAGCGCAAGTCTTTCTCTGGACCTTCTGCCAACCAGCCTACCGAACTGGACCAGAAGCGCAGGGCTTCCGAGGCCGCTCCTATTTCCCACCGCCGAAACGCCAGCGACCCTCAGAGCTCAATCCCCCCTGTTCCTGCAGTCGGCGTTGTGTCTACTGGCGCTCCTTCCCATGGCATTTCCCAGGCTCAGCGTGAACATGCCCCTGCTAGCAAGATCCCCGTCGCCGCGGATCACAGCACTCAGGACAGGCTGAACAGCAACACGGCCCGTGCTGGCATGGCTGGTGCCACTCTTGCCGGCGTCGCTGGTGGCATCGGTGCTGCCAAGTACGCTTCTGCCCAAGATGACAAGGAGACCGTCCATCCTAAGCAAGACGTTTCTCACGTTGCCAGTGGCGTCGGTGCTCCCGCTGCTGCCGGTACCGGCCCTGTGACTTCGGGCGGCTTGTATCACACTGAGAAACCTCGCCAGGCTCCTGCTGATCTTGAGCATCCTAGACATGCGCCTTCTCCCCCAACTCAGCATGCTGCTGACTTCAGTGCTAACCCTTCCGGAGTGAAGCCCAATGAGAAGCTCGCCAGGAACACTGCCCAGGAACCCGGCTACAACATCCTCATGTCCGGTACTCCCTCCGGTGCTCAGCCCATGTCCACCCATGTCCATGGCGGCAAGCACGCGAAGACTGCCAATGAGCCTGGCAACTACAACAAGCTCGCGTCCGGTACTCCTTCGGGCGTGGATACCACTGCTCCCGTTGTCAAGGACACTGGAGCTAAAAGGATCAACCCGGCCGACCACATGACCATTGCTTCTGGTCTCCCTTCCCACAAGTCAGAGAAGCAGCAGGGACCCACCACCCAGCAGCCCGGCGACTACAACCACCTCAACACGGGAACTCCTTCCGGCGTTGCCATGAACACTGCGAACGTAGGCCGTGCCCGTTCTGAGGATCAGCCCCGCACTGCCCAGCAGCCAGGTAACCACAAGCATCTCGCTACCGGCACTCCCTCCGGCGTCATCGCCGGCGCCACTTCTCAGCCTTCCGCTCGCCGTGCCTCCGAGGGCGTCAAGCGCAACGCTCCCGCCGCCGGCAGGAACGATTCTGAAGAAGGTCCCTACAACGTCCTCGCATCCGGCACTCCCTCGGGCGTCAAGATCTCTCCCCACCACTCCCGCCATGGCTCTCGCTCGACCGGCCCGGCCGAGATGACCGAGCCCGTCACCCACGCCGACAGCCAGGACAAGGACGGCATCTACCGCACCCTCGCCTCTGGCACTGCCACCGGTGTGAACGTTGCCGCCATGCACGAAAACCGTGACAAGGCCAAGGATGATATCAAGGACGAGATCCACGAGCAGAGCACCATGAACACTCCGTCTGCCAAGGCCGGTGCCAACCAGCGCGGTCTCCCCCCTGCCGAGTCGCAGCCGATCGCTGCTCTGCCCCCAGCTGAGTCGCAGCCCATCGCTGCCCTCCCGCCAGCTGAGTCTCAGTCCGGTCACTCCGCCATCCTCCTCCCTGCCCCCGAGCACCACCAGAACCAGAACCAGAACCAGGTCGCCGACCTATCTGCCACACCCACGCAGAGGCGCACCCAAGACCAATACAAGCCCGTCCTCTCCGCCGAGCCTCCCCAGCACTTCATGTCCCCCGAAGTGATGCCAGACGCTTACACCACCTCCGTTCCCGGCCGCAACTCCGGTGCCGGATCCGGTCCCGCTGTCGCCCCTGCGAGCACGGAGCCTATGTGCGCTAAGCACATGAGTCCGAATGTGATGCCAGACGCCTACACCGCGTCCGCCCCGGGCCACTCGGGCGCTGAGAAGCTGAACAGCATCCCCGAGTCGACCACTGGCCGTGCCTACCCCGCTGCTGCCCAGCCGGAGGGCGTGAAGCATATGTCTCCTGAGGAGATGCCGAGCGCTTATACTACCTCTGCGCCGGGACATTCTGGTGCTGAGAAGCTCGCTGAGCCTGAGACCATGGCTCCGCGCTCCGCCATCAACCCCGCGCTGGCGGCGGCTAGTGGGGCTTGGGCTGCTTCCAATGTTGGGAGTGGACAGAAGGGCTTGAATGAAAGTGCTTCTGGTAAGCAACAGCGCATTCACAAGCCGGTGCTTCACAAGTGCCAGCATTGCGGAAAAGATAATGACGTTAGTGGTGTTTTGGAAACAGCTTTGAAGGGTGAGAGTGAGAGTGGTCGTCAGTACTAAGAGGGTACATCCAGGAAGTGATGGATCAGTGTGATTGGATTCAAGGTTTTGGCGCTTGTTTTTGGCAGTTTCTGGACGAGGTTTTTGGTTAGCAGGACGGAATTGTTGTTAATGACTTTATGAGTTATGATATTGTGAATATGATTTGACTGGATCACTGGAAGATTATCGATGAGATTGTGATGGCTACTAGCTACGGTAGCGATCTAGTGAGACTGGTGGTTGTGAATGCCTTCGATACCCTAGCTGCAGCAATTTGTTGTGTAATTTAGTATGTTTTACTTCTCGATGATATCGCTAGTCGTTGTTATCCACGTCGTGTTCTACATGCTTAATTTTGATGATGGCGAAAAGTTCTACTGATTTGTCTTCCCAGGTCCGACGATCGGTGCCGCGTTCACACTGATAGTAATGCGGCTCATATCCGGCTCATCGGCATACATGGAAGTCGTCGACGTCGATGATTGTCTCCCTCACCTTCTTCGGGTCGACCACATCGACCGTATCGGCACCGACAATTGACAGCCACGAACAGACCACGAATGAAGTTTTCCTGCACGAGTTCCACGAGTTCCACCAGATTACAAATATGCAGATGCAAGTGGTGCTTGTTCAGACGATACCTTGATTGCATTACCGTCCCTTGACGTCACGACTTCGGAAAGGCGAGACGATCATCGATCTGCATCTGCGGCCCGCCCGTTCATGTCAACTCCGGCAGGTACAAAGCTTGTCTTGACTCCTGGATTTTTTTTTTCTGTTTTTTTCGTCTTGAGCCAAGACATTTGACAGTACTTCTCTTACTCACCTCACTTCAGTTGAGAACCCTACTTGTTAGACAAGCACCGACACAAATCTTCGCATAACGAAGCTCATTGCACGAACGACGACTCATTCGCAGTTCGCACAAAGATGGACGCCAAATCCCCCCACATCAAGAACCGCGACACCCCCCAATGGGGTCTCTACCAGCGGAACATGTTTTGGAAGTATAACGAGGGGGAGCTGCCGCCGTTTAATACCCGTATGTCTTTCTCCTTTTTTGTTTTCTCCCTCTCCCACCTCTCTTCCCCTCTCTCTCTCATCAACCAACCAACCTCAATGGCCGGTCGGTACCTAACCCTGCGTGCGCAATGAAACAAAACAGACCCCGACGTCCTCGAACGCCTCGCCTCCCGCAAACTCTCCCAAAACGGCTATCTCTACGCCTCCTCCAACGCCGGGCTCTCGCACACGCACCTCGCCAACCGCCAAGCCTTCTTCCGCCACAAGCTCGTGCCGAGACAACTAATCGACACCAACGAGCGGTCCACGCGCACCAAGCTCTTTGATAACAACGGGAAATGGGAAGTTTCCGCCCCGTTCGGCATCGCGCCTGTGGGAATCAACAAGATCTATCACGACCGGGGGGAGCTAGCGGTCGCCAAGGCGGCGGGAGAGTTGGGGCTGGTGTATTCTCTGTCAACGGCGGGGAGTTATCCGATTGAGGAGGTGGGAGCGGCTAATGATGAGGGGAGAGCCAACCGGTTTGAAGTGAATAAGAACCTGGATGTGGAGGGGGATGGGGATGGGGGGAATGAAAACTCGCAAAAAGTTCCTGAAGCGCCGCGGTTTTTCCAGCTTTACATGCCTCACGACGACGAGTTGACCTTGAACTTGCTCAAGAGGGCGCACGAGTCCGGCTTCGAAGCATGTATCCTCACCACCGACACGGCGCAGCTAGGCTGGCGACATGATGATGTCGCAACGAGCAATTATGCTTTCTACCGCGGCATCGGCGGGGAACTGGGGTTCACGGATCCCGTTTTTCAGAAACGGATGCGGGAAGCTGGGGTTGATGCCGCCAAAGATCCCGTGAGGGCCGCGACGATGTGGATCGATACCATCTGGCACGGCCGGGCGTGGTCGTGGGAGAAGGCGGTTTGGGCGCGCGAGAAGTGGCAGGAGATTGCGGGGAAGGATAAGCCCTTTTTGATCAAGGGGATTCAGAGCGTGAACGACGCAAAAAAGGCGGCGGATTTGGGGTTTGAGGGCGTGGTGGTTAGTAATCATGCGGGAAGACAGGTAGATGGGGCGGTGGGCAGTTTGGATGCGTTGGAGAGTATCGTGAAGGCGGTCGGGGAGAGGAAGGGGTTCACGGTCATGTTTGATAGCGGGGTGAGGGGGGCGGCGGACGTGATGAAGGCTTTGGCGCTGGGAGCCAAGTTTGTGTTTATTGGGAGACTGTGGATTTGGGGGTTGGCCATCATGGGGGAGGAAGGGGTTCGGCATGTGTTGAGGAGTCTGTTGGCGGATTTTGATATTCTGATGAATGTGATGGGGGTGAGGAGTGTGGAGGAGATTGATGGGAGCTTGTTGGAGAGTGGGCCGAGGGTTTATGGGTTGTTGAATGAAAAGAGTAAGTTGTGAGATGGGGATGGCATCACATGGTGGTGATGAGTTGTGAATGTAGTTTTGCTAGATGTAGCTCTGAACAATTTGACGATGGTAGACAAAACCAGCATCAGGTCAAAGGACCCACTTGTACAAGAAGCTCAGGGGCTTCTTCCCGTTTGGGTCATAAGTAAACAATCACGATGAAAGCCTCGCTGGGTTTAACCGTTGAAGATGTTGGGCCTCATCTCCAAGAGAAGCAGATGGCGCTAATTGCGATGTAGGAGGCGAAGGAACCGTTAAACAACGGGCTGACTGTGGCATGGCCCAACATCATGATTTCTGAAAAGTAGTTGTGGTGATTGCTGCCGGTGTGATGGCAGGGGCTGAAGGTGAAGCGAAGGGAGGAAGAGAAAAAAAAGCTCGAAATTGATCTGGAATTGGACGTTGTCGTGACAAAGCGACGGGCATGGAAGGCCCAGGGCAGTTGATTAGATCAGCATTGGGGACCCACTTCTCCGCCGTGAAACAGCGGGACAAACGTCTCCACCAGCCAGCTTTCTTTCAAGGGCCCCTTGTTTGTCATTTCAAGCGTGCATTCAGTTGAAATTTGTTTGTTTTGTCCATATGTAACCCGAACCCTGGGATTTGTAGCTGCGTGACAGTTGAAGCTGCCCAATGGCCCGCCCTCGCCCAGATTCCTGCCCAGGCGCCAGTGCATCTGTCCCGTGCATCATGTCCATGTCGGGTGAAGCTGCCCTGATCTCGAACCTGATCTGATCATCCCAGCATTGCTTCCCTTTCTTGCTTGCAGCTGTCATTTCTTTCAGGTCCAGGTTCTGTTACTGACCAACCACCAACACTGTCGTCGTCCACCATCGTCTTCCACTCCACTTTGGAACAGCGGAAGAGAGAGTCGGGTCGCCAGCAACAGTCGATTGCGTTTGGATCCGATTGCGCATTCTTGACTGAAGTGGACTGGGCTAGTCACCAAGAGACGCACAGCACTGACGCTGACACGACCTCACCAACGAACCACTCCCGATCACCTACAGAACGCAATCCTGGCTTGCAGTGGACTGACACCTGAACCCGCTCACCTACCCGCCGCCCGCCATACCCGCCCACCATCGATCCGTCCCGTCATCTCCATCGCATCGTCGACTAGGTGGCCCTGTGCATTAGTCAAAGAGCCAGTCAAGACTAGAGATGCCCTAACTGGCTGCCAATCCCTTTCAGGCTCCTGCTTCTTCCATTTTCATCAACAAGCCCCCCCCATTCTACGGAGCTTTCCCCGGCCGACAACCTAGACCCTCAGCGACCCCCATTCAGCTTCCCGCTTCTCCGCTCTTCCATCTCGCGAAACCCGAATTACCAAACAACATGGCCGGCTTTCCTCCACGGAACCAACACCACATCCAGCCCGATGAAGGCTACTCGGAAGACCCTCTGAATCCCCAGGCCAATTCCTCCTGCCTCAAATCCCGCGACACCTCTCCTTGCCCCCATCCATCGTCGCGCCAAGCCTCGGACATCCCACCCTGGCTGATCCAACACATCTCGGGCCTCTCCATGGAAAACAAGACAGGTTGGCCCTTCTTTTCCCCCTTCTTGTTTTACCCAAACGGTCCAAACGAGTCCAACTGACCTGCTGCGCTTCTCTCCTAGAACTCGCCATGGCGCTCCTCAACGACCTCCCCACGAGCGTCATCTCTCAAATCGTCGAAACACAACTCTATCCCCGACTGTACATCGACTTTGTGCGCTATCTCCCAGCCGAAATATGTCTAAAGATTCTGGGGTACCTCGACCCCATCTCCCTCATCAATGTCGCCCGCGCCTGCCGAGTTTGGTACGAGCTTGCCATGGATAGAAAGCTATGGCAGCATCTTTACTACATGGAGGGCTTTAAGGCTCTGATGGATGAGATTGCTGCCGCCGAAGAAAAGATGAACCAGACTCCCATACCCACCCCCAGCCATCTTGAGCAATACCGATCCGAAGAAGACGGACATGTCCACAAGAGGAGGGCCATTGCCAAGGCATCACCCCCCATGTTGCCCGCTGACGAGGATACCAAAATGTCCCTGGGTGATGAGCCTTCCGATATCGATATGGCGGGTTCGAGTATCTTTGGTGGTGGTGGTTCCGGTGTAGCCCGCTCGCGGACGAGTGAGCACGGCGATTTCAACGGGAGAGGTAGACGAGTGGACAAGGGAAAGGGACGGGCCATGAGCCCACCGCCGCAGCAGTCTGCTACCACACGTTACAGAGACAGCATGACTCACAAGATCCCCGTCCTTCCCGGAACATTGCAAAAGACGACTATGTGGTGGTGGGACGCCAACGATCGCCGATACAAGATCGACTGGAAGTATCTGTATACTATGCGCCGGCGACTCGAGGCCAACTGGGAGCACGGCAAATACACAAACTTCCAGCTACCCCATCCGGACTATCCCGACGAAGGCCACCGCGAATGCATCTACAGCATCCAGTATAACCCCCAGTTCCTCGTCAGCGGCAGCAGGGATCTCACCATCAAGGTGTGGGACATGACGAGCAGACGTTGCTTGCGGACGCTCAAGGGTCACCGTCGCTCCGTTCTCTGTCTCCAGTTCGACTCGAGCCCGGACGAGGACATAATCGTTTCTGGCAGCTCCGATTCCGATGTCATCATCTGGCGCTTTTCCACCGGAGAAATAATCGAGGTGCTCCGCCACGCCCACCAGGAATCCGTTCTCAACGTCAAGTTTGACAAGCGCATCCTGGTAACATGCTCCAAGGACAAAACCATCAAGGTCTTTAACCGAAGGCCGCTTCGTCATGGCGACCTGGGCTATCCCATCGACCAAGTCGGTACAACCGTCAATGTAGGCTACAATATTCCCCCAGGTATCGAGGACGCGCCTGTAATAGCGCCGTGGACCATGATTGGCACCCTCATTGGCCATAGCGCGGCTGTCAATGCAGTGCAGATTCACGAAAGAGAAATCGTTTCTGCCAGTGGCGACCGATACATCAAGGTATGGGACTGGCCCACCCAAGACGTCCAACGTACCATCATAGGACACCACAAGGGCATAGCCTGTGTACAGTATGATGGCCGGCGTATTGTCAGCGGTAGCAGTGACAACGAAGTCAAGATTTTTGATTGCCAGACGGGTCTGGAGGTGACGACTCTGAAGGGCCACACGGCGCTGGTGCGGACAGTACAAGCCGGGTTTGGCGACCATCCGTACAGCGTAGAGGAAGACTTGATCAAAGCCAAGGAGGTCGACAAGGCTTATTACCAGGCTGTGGAAGCAGGCGAGATTGACGAAAACGACAATCAGAGGACACGTCGCAAGACCAATGCTGGCTCTAGCAAACCGCAGGACGTTTGCGCGACTGGAGCCAAGCTACCACCCGGCGGCGGCGGTGGCAGGTTTGGTCGTATCGTTAGTGGAAGCTACGACACCACCATTATCATCTGGAGGAGGGATTCGGAGGGTGTATGGCGGCCACAGCATCACCTCAGACATGAACAGGCTGCTGAAGCGGCTTCGAGACGAGACGACGGGCCGCCCGATGTGCCTGGCAGGATTCCACTGCATCCAAGCATGCGTTCTGGGTTGACTGCAGCGAGCATGCCCGCGCCTACAAACCCTCACACAGCTGCTGGCTCCTCGCGGACCGCAAGTGCTCCTCCTGGACCCGTGGCTGGAAGGGCGCCCGAGCCACTGGACCCAGCTACCCTGCTTGAATACGAGCAGATGGTACACGGCGCTGTCCAAAGCGGCCCAACGGCTTTTAGAAATCTTCTTCAGGCTCGCCCCGAGATTATCTCTCTACGCCACATGGTGGACCGAGCGCTCAACCGGCAGTCCGACCCGAACTTGCGGGCTCAGTTGCGAACTGCGTGGACTGGTGCTCATATTCAGAATCAGTGGAACCACGGTCGGACTCGAAGTGAATTAACCCGCAACCAAGAAAATGTCATGGCTGCTAACGCTGCTGCTGCTGCTGCTGCTGCTGCTACTGGCAGCAACGGCGTCATTGGGACCGGTACGGCAACGGCAACGGCAACGGCAACGGCAACAGCGGCAGCAGCAGCACTGGCGGCAGGAGCAGCGGCAGGCCAACCTGTTGTCACGCAAGTCTCGCTACCACAGGTGCCGGTTGCTCCAGCGGATGCTGTCATAGCAGCACCAGCGCAACAACCTCAGCTCCCGCCTATGGCAGGTGGGCGTCATCATCCGCATATCCCCACAGCACCGGCTGAAGAAAATGCGCCGAGGGTGTTTAAGTTGCAGTACGATGCCCGGAGGATTATCTGTTGTAGTCAAACCAGTTACATCGTCGGGTGGGATTTCTGTAACGGCGACAAGGAGTTGGAGGAGGCTAGTCGGTTCTTTGATACCGTGCAGTAATTCGAGCGTGTTTTAGGGGGCAAGTTTCTTCTGTAGTTTAGTACCCAGCTGTTTAGGACGGGACGTCATTGTCAAAAGTTAGCCCAGTTTGGTAGTACAGATTGTATGGAGCACAGGCGTTGGATGGTTAGTGCCAGGTCACAAGATCATGGCAAGGAGTCTTGTTATTTTTGCGAACGCGCATCATTGTTATTAGGTATTGTTTACGAACTTGACGATAGTCGTGTTGGCTATTCTCATGGAATTTAGCCATAGAGCAGGGCAGGGTATGTGCTCAATGGAAGTGTTGTTATCTGTATTTGAATGCTTGTCTCCTTGATGTCCTGTATGCCTCGATCACAAGTGACTGAACCCAAATACATCTTCCCGTTGAAAGCACCGAATAGAAAGCATCGTTCGACTATAGTTCCGCCTCTCGTCCTGGTATATGTATGTGCTTCAACCGATGTCTGAAAATGCCCCCCTTCGTCCCCGAAACCATCCAAGCCACAACTCCGATCCCAAAGCTCGTTCAACTTTCGATCGTGTGACTCCCGAAGCGGCCTAACCCAACCCTTCCCTCCATAATGCCTTCCCATCACATCCCCTTCGCAGCACAATCATCAACCCCCTCCTTATTAACCAGCAACCTCCTTCACCTTCCCCCCCACCTTCGGCTCCTCATCAACAAACTCCGGCACCTCATCCTGCATAAAACTCGGCACACCCCCCGCCCCCTCCATCCCACCATACATCTCCCTCTCCAACTCCACCTCCTGTCCCAACGCCTCCAGCTCCGCATCCAGCTCCTCCTCATCCACATCCTCCGGCACCTCATAACTCCTCGCCAAGCTCTCCTGGATCTCATTCCCCACATCCAGCAAATCCGCCATCTCGTCCTGCAGCCTCTCAATCTTATCCAAATCCACCTTCCCATACTCCTTCTTCAGTTGCTTATTGGTCTGTTTAAGCGCATCGATCGTCACCATCGTGTTCTTGAGATTGTCCTGCATCGTCTGCGCCTGCTCCATGTTCCACACCTGCGACTGGATCTGGTCCCGCTGGGCTTCGTATTGTTTGCGCTGCCGCAGGACTTTGAGCGCTTTTTGCTTTAGCGCGGTCTTGCCCGGGCCGTCGCGCATTTTGGAGAGTTTGGTTTGGTACCCCGATAGTTCGGCGGTGAGGGAGGCGAGTTTCACGTCGATGGAGGAGAGGCGAGTGTCGAGCGAGGTGATGGCGGTTGTGAGGGTGGGTTTTGGGGCGGTGGGTTTGGAGGAGGTGCCGAAGAGGCGGTTCATTTTGGTGGTGGGGGGCGTGTGGTACGCGGGGATGAGTTGGTTTGTTTTGTTGTGTGTTTTTGGTCTAGGTTTGAGGTGGGTGATGTGATGGTGATTTTTGTTGTTTCGTTCGTTGTTGATTGTTGTTGTTGTTGTTGCGGGGAAGATTGGCGGTTGCGACAGGCGGCTGGATGACCGACCGCCTGAAGCGCTGTGGAGTGCTGCCTATCCGCCGATGACGACTGCTGCGTGGGGCAGTGTGGCGCAAAAGGGGTGCAGTTCGTGGGGAGGTGGGGAACTGAATGAGGCTGGACCGCCCTATGGGGCTTGCACGGTGGATTACTTGACGTTAGTGGGGAAGTTGACTTCAACCGTTCGTCTTCATTCTTCAACTCTTCAACTCTTCCATCTGTAAGTTCGGTGGCCCGCAACCAGATGAAACGAGACATCGACAATCGGATACTTGGTTGCACAATCAACAAAGTACTCTGCTCAGGGCCCGAGCCCCCGAGCCCCCGACTTACGGACGTACCTAGCGGCCTCCTAACACAATGCACGCCGTGGACTTTCCCGTGCTGGCAAACATCCTCACGGTGCTATGACCTACCGTAGAAACTCGAGGAGTTGGTTTTCGGGATCCAGCAGTCTGCGGCAGAATCTATCGGCTCCAACGAATGGCAATTACATAGACGCAGCTTGAGTGTCTTAGGGTTTGGGTTTTGATGATATTCGAGCATGTTCGCAATGCTGAATGTGCTTCCCTGCTGGATCCCGAAAACGAACGCCACGAGTTCCTACGGTACAGCTTTCACCATGGCATTTGAAGAAATTTACTTGGGAACCCTCGAAGACGACCCCAAGGCGACTGGAGGACTCGGTTTTCGAGGACCACATGTGCAACATGACCCACCCCCCACGTCCATCAGGATGGTGGCCAAGATGAGGTACAAGTGGTCTTGTACTGGCTTCCTGGCTTCTGTGTCGCTCTTTGGGATGCTGGTTCGCCCTCGAGTCTCGAGATATAATAGCCTCGCCCTTGTAAACAAGAGATACGCGACGCCTTTTGTAAACCAGATGGCTGTCATCTTTCTACAGTTATCCTTGAAATTGCGACCATGTCTTCAGGCTTGGATCTGAGCGATATCTACGCTAAACTGCCTATTACCCTCAAGAACCTAACGCTGGACCACTTAAAGCCTGAGAGAAACTGCACTGCGGCTGGAACAATAGCTGCTCAAATCTCATATTTCCTCGACCAGGACATTTTCATGACGTCTCTACCATCAGTGTCCGATCTGTTGATATTCCTCTACGCTTGTTCGAACACGACACTGGGAAAGCTTTCACCTGGCGAGGCAGTCGACTGGTATATATACCACAGAGAAAGTAACGCCGACGCGTTCGATGGCTTGTGGTGGAAGATCGTGCACAGTAACTCGGTATGCGTGAAAAGCTTTTGTCGACATTACAACTGGGAAGGCGATCCAGACTTGGCAGGCATAGGTGTAAGTATGAATCTCTCAAATTACCAAAACATGTCCTTGTTGCATTTTCTATCAAGCCAACGATGTGCTTCCACTAATCGGCGTCTTTTCCAGGTCTACTTTACGTATATAATACAAGCTTGCATGACAACACTCTTTATCCTCCTCCACTTCTATCTCAGCTTGTCGTTCAAAATCTGTTGTCAGGCTTCCGCCCGTTTCAGTTGGTTTATCTCATACGCCCAAACTGCCGCCTGCCATCAGGATATGCTCGACAACTTTGTCAAAATCTTCTGGACTGCATCGCTTTATTTTGCCCTGGCTATCGCAATCGCATCCAACCTGGCGATAAAGCCAATAATGTCCACTTATGGCATGACTTTTTCACCATGGTTCTTGGTGATTGGAGAACATTTTGCTACAATGGTCCTCATCTGTCTATGGCCATGGTACGGCAGACAGGCGAAGTTCCCAAACGCGGCACTCTTATGTGTCGCCCTGCTTTGGCTAGCTGTGTACTGTGAAAATGGTATTTTCTACTACCAGCCAGCTGATGATAATTCCGGCTACATCAGCTGTTACGGCCTCAAACCTTTCTGGTATATTCTATGGAAAGTGTCCTATTACTCTCAGCTCTCAGCTTATCTTCCCCCTCGGGCTCGCATATCAAGTCCTTTACTGCATACTCTCTTGGTACCGGTATGTTGTCGGGAGGATAAGCAATCGGTCTGGCCGGCATACTAGAGCAGAGAGTATCTTCAGAGGAGCCATATCTGCTGTGGCCTTCCTGTCGATGTGGATGGACCTGGCTATCTTCAACGAAACCCGCACAGAGTCACATCGGTTCGTGGGTCAGTCCTACTTGGAGGATAGATGGACCTATGGCCAGATACTTACCATCATGACATGGTTCTCGGTATCTGTAGAATTTCTCCGGCTATGGATGTGTAAGTCCCAGCCCACTCCTCTTCGGCATTTCTGTGAAATATTCGGCCATGGATTGGGGGAACCAACACACATTCATATAGCTAATCTGCATTTCCAGGGGATTCTATCTACGACGATTTGAGTCGGTCGTATCACAGACACATACTGCCTAAAATTCACGACCTGGTTTTCACCACCCACAGTCGAATTTCGGGGACCAAGTGCGACACTAAGGGTGGCTCACCACCAAACGTAACCGCAGGCCAGGGCTGTATATACACGTGGCCGGCGAAGACCGGCAGTGATGATGATCACAGCTTGGTCGAAGACAGGTCGACCGGCTTGCTAGATCCTCATTACACCCGTTCCTCTCGCAGGTTCTCCATATAACATCGATCCGGTCTTATGATCTGCGACCGACCTCTCCCTCGGCCCCCAGTGCTTTCACTTCCTCCTCGCCTTTCTTGGTATGGCTTCTGCTATCCTCCCAGCCGCATCGAGTGCCCGGGATTGGTTGTTCGCCCCTTGATGTGGCCACTTCTAGTTTTGCTGCACTGTCTCGTGAGGATGGCCGAAAAACGCTCGTTGCATGCTCTCTGATGGCCAGAAGCATTGGGGCGATGATTCTGGTGTAATATGCGTGGACAGATTCCCCTGGCCCGTGTTAGTTCATTTGGGCGTCATAACAAACCCGTGGGGAAATGGTCAACGAGAAGACCTACAAAACCACACCCGAAAGAGGCCAATGATCACAGGAAGCCACCCCGTTACGGAGACGACCTGGCCGAAGCTCCACACATTCTCAGAGTCAGAATGTCCAGCTAGCTCGTGGGCCCGTTGACGAGACAGCCCAAAGATGACGAGGTCAATCCACAATATGGCAAAGCTGAGAAGATAAAACACCACCAAGGCGGCGTTTGCTATTACTGTCCGGTGTCGCTTCAAATATCCGAAGACCGTACTCCTCGGCTTTCCGGTGGTAGTCGGCCCACATCGAACAGAAAAGGGAAACACGCACCGATACGCAGGCACAAAAGTCATCACAAAGATGTCGAAGTAGCATTTTACGCTATAAAGACGGAACAACGCAGGAGACACGAACGGGCATTTCTCCTCAAACCCAGACAGAGTCGGCCAGAACTGGGTGAAGTACGTCGCAAAGAAAAGGAGCGGTAACAGGACGATAACGGCTAGCAACATGACTCTGGAGTATGATCTGGCTTGTGGTGAATACCACGGCCACAGACAGATGAGCACCATCAACGTGAAGTGAGCCCCGGTGTTGGAGAACAAATGGCCGTATTGCGTGCCAGGGGCTTTGTCCCGGTAGTCGTAGGCGATGGCCGCGATGGTGACTGCGACGGATAAATACAGTGACGAGATCCAGAAAACGCTCAGTGAATCCTAGAGTGATTCGGAGAAGGGAGTTATCGTGGGGTTTATCGGAGTAGGAGTGGTAAGGTCACCGAGGATCCCGATCCCCTTTGCTTCGCCGGTTCGTTTTCTCCATGCTGACCAAGTCTTGTAGAGATATGCAACGCAGTCAAAGGCAGAGGATTAAGTGGCTCCGATGTCCTCTTCGCGCCGCTCAACAGCACTCCGAATGTCCACCGTGGCCGAAAACGCAGCACTCACGCCAGTACCAACTAAATCTGGACCTTCTTCAAACCTATAACTCTTGCAATACTCCAAGACGCAAGTCTTATTGCCGACTTCGCCGAGTAACGAATCCAATCTTTTGCTATCGACAGCAGAGCTGTAGATGAACCAGTCGGCCAATCCCCCGTAGGACATATTCGTCAACGTCACGTCTGAGCAACTCTGGATAAAAGCCGAGAGCTCATGGAGCGGGTAGTTGTTACGGTCTCCATCGCTCTCAAGTTTGAAATGCACGACTTGGGCGACGAAAGCGCCTGCTGCCGCACAGTCTCTTTCCGGCTTCAGCATCGACTAAGTGAAGTTTTGGAGGACATGGGGCACTCGAGCGAAAAGGGTGACTAGATCCAGGTCCATTATCTGGGACTCAAAGGGAGATCGGACGGTGGGAAAGTCACGATAGCAACAGCCAGGTGAGTTGACTTCATGAGCTACAAAGCAGCATTTAATGATATAGTATTTGAGTTCTTCTGGCCATGATGCCATGAACCTCAAGGGGCCATCCAGGCCATGTCAAGCATCGCGGTTGTGCTGAAAGCCTGAAAGTCACGACACCTCCCTGATGAGCCTGACTGGTGGCCGTACGGCGTACTGTACCGCTAATTCTCATTCCCGTCGGATTTATCCCCACATTGTACGGCCAATCACATCTGGTGAAGGACTTGCATGCTGACGCCTCAACGGGGCATACAGCCCAGCAAACCAAATGATTGGCCAAAATAGCGTGGGGATAAATCCGACGGGAGTGAGAAAAAGCTGTAGTGTTCATCCAGACCTTTCAGGCCTTTGTATAGGCGTCGATCATTGCCCGATCATGCACTCCCCTGGACTGTGCCGCGGTCGTTGTGGCCCAGCACCTAGTCTCTCATGACAGTCGTGCTCCGATGTCAGCCCCCATCCGCTCCGCCGCCACACGTGGCGCAATCTCTTTGTACCCTGTGGGTCCAAATGGTGTGACATTATGATTGGTGGGTGGGTGAGTGTGGTGGGGATGTCACAACCATTTGGACCCGCAGGTACAAAGAGACGCAAGGGCCATGCGTAGGTGGCTGCTGAGTAAATGAGACTACCAGCACCCCAGATTTGCAAGATCTGCATCCCCTTCCATCCTTCCAGAGCGTCTGGATGGTCTGGGGAAATGGATTTGCATGATCTACAGATCTTACGCTTCATACTTCGGACTCGAAGCAACTGAGCTCGCTCTACACAGTTCTGTAGGAGACTGTGTAGGAATTTGAAGACGCCGCTGACGCCGGGATAAACAGTATTGACGATGTATGATGCAATCATTCTCTATTTGACATATCCCAAACCTACACTACGCCACCAAGAACCAGTTCGAGTCGAAGCGGTGACCGTTGTGTAGGTATTTCCAATGGCACATGGACGAGTCGGTCACACAAAGGTTTCCTGACGTGCGGTTATCGCCCATGTACACAGTAGGTAGTATATACTACGAATTGCTAACTGCATGAGGACGGTACCTAACTGCGCCACTAGAGATGCACGGTACTGGTTGAACTTTTTCGTTTCATCTCCTTTCGCCGTATCCCGCTCCAGGTTTTCTCGCTCGCCCTTGCATTGAATTCACATACCAGACCCGAATTCGACCAACGTTCCGCTTCTCTACCTACAGTAGGCAGTTCCAGAACCTGACTCACGCGGACCAGAAACAACGGGCGCCTAACTCTTTTGCACTCGCCGCTCCTCGGTGACGGGGGTCGTTATCTAGGTCCAAGAAACTGGCCTAAAAGGGAAGGTCCCTGCAGAAATGCAACGGCTGGGCCGTCACGTCACGGTGCGCGGAACACGGCATGAAATGGAGGGGACAGCGCTCTGTTGGGCAGTCTGTTGCCTAGAATACCCGTGGATTTGGTGTGTCACTGAAGATGGAGCAAGAGCTGTATCTGGCTCAGCTTTATGGGCCTTGGATCCCTAGAATCCCTTGGCACTCCATGCGCCTCCATTCACAGTCCACCATCTAGCGCTGCGACCATCTAGCGAGCAGAGCCTTACACCAACACATCAGTTCATCCTCTGCCACTAGTTTAACGCGATGTACCACTCTACTGTATTGGATGCATTTGGGCTGTGCCTGTTGCTCGGGGCGGGAGTACAGGCAACGATTCACGGCCTCGGGATGGTGACCGGAAACGGTTCAGCTCAAAGAAGCGGAGGGTCATGTTTGTTTATACATAAAGACCCGGGCTGCCCAAGGTAGTTCGAGCGTTATAACATTCAGCACTTTCTTCACCTCACACACTCCAACTCTTCAACCTCACCATCCAACCAATCCGCCCATCACGATGCGTTCCAACACTCTTCTTGTTGCCCTTGCGGCCACCGCTTCGGCTTCTGCCGTTCCCCAGCCCCGGGCTGAGGCCCCCGCCGCTCTGATCACTCCGGCCCCCGTCTTTAAGGGCTCGGCTGTCCAGGATGCCATCCGCGCGCATGGTCAGGCAGGGCAGCACGAGGTCGACAAGCGGGCCTACGTGGTTTCGTACGAGATTTCAGGCTCGGGCAACAAGTTCACCAGCTGCCTTTACAGCCTCAGCTCGGCGCTGATGTCGATTGAAAGCGCCGCCCCTTATCCCTCCGACACCGATCTGGCGTCCTGGCTTTCAACGCTTGCTCTTGAGGAGCCCACCACCACGCTGGGTATCGACCAAGCCGAGAAAGCCTGCGAGACCTCGGATGCTACCCCCACCGTCCCCGCGTCCTTGACCTCGGCCTACTCGTCCTACGAGGAGAAGGCCAAGGCGTGGCTGACCGAGGCGGCCAAGGGCGCCAGTAGCGTGGCCAAGAACTGCCCTACCAAGATCGGCAATTGGGTCGAGCTCACCTTTGCCACCGATACTGCCGAGTGCAAGGCCATTGTCGCCAAGATGCAGGGAAAAAGCGGTGCTGCTTCCAGCTCTGGTAAGTGATCTTTCGGTTCCAGCCTTGTATCAGTTTGGACTCGTTGAAGCCGTCACCACATCTTCCCGTTCATCCTCTTGCCTTGGCCTTGACGGATCTTCCCACGATCAGCACAAGGTCATCGAAGGCCCCTTCTTCCCCTACATCTTCTTCTTCCCCTTCCTCGCCTACCAACGAGTCACTCGCCCCATTATCCCTCACTTTTTGTATCATCAATGCTTTTCCCTCATTTTTCCATGTAACACAATTTTGCTTTCGTATGTGAAATATTCATATATACAAAATTTAAATTCATCTAAGCCATACTGGCTAACACCGAATCCTCACAGCTCCCGTCTTCGCCGCCGTCGGTGCTTTCGCCGGCCTCGTTGGCGTCTTGGCTCTCTAAAAGAGTCTCAAAATCAACCATCGCCAAACAACCCGACATGATACCCCCACAACCTTACTAAAACAACAAAACATAAATGATACGATACTAATGATAATGGAATGAGACGAGACGGGGAAAGTTGCTATGGTCGTTGTACAGTTGGTTTTTTTTTCTTCCTTTGGATAGATGGATGATGATGGAGGGAACCTTCATATAGTAATGCTGTGATGATACCCATTGGATATGCTAGAAAATCAAGATGATGATGACTGGATTTGGATTGGAAAAGATGCTGCGGCCAAGCTGTGATTGATGAATCCTTGACATGAAGGGTTCCCACACTCAAGCACCTTGACAGTCGCCAAGACTTCCCGAGAATTGAGCTGACCACAACTTTTTGGCAAACGGACCATCGAAACGAAAAGAACAAGACTTCATTTGCCCATATCTCCACCAAATGAGGAAATGAAAGAAAACTGGTTGTAGATTCAACATCAGCGTGCTTGAAACTATCAAGATAGTACTCTTTATGATGATATATTTGAGTTTCTTGATTTTTGTCTTTCGTTTCGATGGTCCGTTTGTCAAAAAGTTGTGGTCAGCTCAATTCTCGGGAAGTCATGGCGACTGCCAAGGTGCTTGAGTGTGGGAAGGAATGAACAATTAACAGCAAAAGTGACTACCCGTATCCACTATTTGGTACCTTGCATTAGTGTGCAGCTTGTGTGCACCAAGCACTGCCTGCCTCATGCCTAGTCTAGGCTGTCCGCACGGCCGGTAGCTGCTTACCGACCGAGCCTACCCGATCTGATGTTGAAGGAAGGAAGCCATGGCAACCATTCCCGACACAGAAGGAACTCAGGGCTGTCAGGGAAGGAACCTACTTTATCCATGAGGATATGAGGATAAGCCAGACAGCTGCTTTGAAGTCTGGTGGGCTCCGAGGAGTCCTGTCGTGTATAACCCCCCCCCCCCTTCTCCTCTTTTCTCCTCCAGCCCTTTGGCTGGATGGCTTCTTTTGCTCACCGTTCAATAAGTACTATCAAGCACGTTTTCCCTTCCACTTCTTTGGGTTTCCCACTTGTTTGCCTTACATGTCCCCATCACCACCAACTGTCAACGACACAAACCGCATTGACCAACAATCCAGCGACGGACGGATACGAAACTCGTTTTCGCTGTGTTTTCCCGTTAGAGCAAAAGCGAGAAGCAAAGACGGGAACCTGAACAATTAGAGACCCGCCAATGAAAAGAACGGAAAGCCGCCATGTGGCCTGGAATTGGAAATTAGCATGTCGAGGGAAGGGGAAACAGCAGCATCGAGATCTTATTCGCGGGCGTGTGGCGCACCAAAAATGTTCTGAGGCCCGGCCAGTAGAAAAGAACCGGTTGACGGTTGGGACTCCCAACTGAGTCAACCCCTGTCATGTCTTTGCTTGGTTTCAAGGGTTGTGAATCAGGCTAAGACCCAAAAAGGTGACGCCGCAATCTCGGGCGAGGACGACAGCATGAGAGGTTGCCGACCTTCCCAAACAGACCCAACCGTGGAAATGACATGACATCAAGGGAGGAACCCCTTGCTAACGTCAAAAGACAAAACCCCATCCTTTCCCTGTCACTGTCAACGGTTCTCCCCGCCGCACTACCCATCAACACCATCACCTTCACCGTCATCAACACTATTCCAAACCGTCACCACCCCTTAACCCGAAAAAGCCGCGCCAACACCAACAATGCATCTCCGAACCCTCACCACCCTCGCGGCGGTAACCACCACCGTCTCCGCGCTTGCTGCCCCTGCTCCCCCAGCCCACCACGCCGTCGCAGCCGTCGGACCCGAAATCACCCAACCCCCTTCTATCCAGGCTCGCCAGGGTCACGGTGCCTTCCGCGCTGAACCGCGTCCCAAACACGTCGACGCAAAAAAGCATAAGAAGCGTGACGACGACCAGGTTCCCTCCGTCGACGATATCGACGTCGGATCCGACAATACCTACTCGTACCTAGACAACTCCTTCCCCACCGGCCTCTCTACCACCCTGAAGCCTCTGTACTCCAGCTGCGCCTTAGCCTACGAATCCCTCATGACCTCCGCCCCCGAGCCCTCCGGCAAGCTCGAAGACTGGTTGGAGACCGCCCTCTACGGGGACTACGACAGCTGGACGGCGACCTCCTCCACCGACGCCTACGCGGTTGTCTGCGGCAGCCCCTTGACGCCGCCGGCTAGCCTGGCTTCGACGTACTCGGCCTTCACTTCCGCGAGCGCCAGTTATCTGTCAGCCCATCAGTCCGAAGTTACGAGCCTGGCGAAGGCGTGCAAGCCGGTTTACTACGATGTGGTGTTCAGTCTCATGATGCCGCACAAGAACTATGAGGAGTGCACGAGCGTGTATTATAATTATGAGAGCGTTTATGCGAGCTTGGCGTGCGAGGATAATACGGTGAATTGTTCCTTTACGACTGAGTTCCCGGCGAAGACGACGGGCACGGGGGCGGCGGGCAATGCGGGTGAGGCGACGACGACTGCTGCGGGGGCTGGAGAGACTGGTACTAGTGGAAGTGGTACTGCCGGTACCTCGTCGACGACGGCTTCGGGGAATGCGGGCGCTCCTAAGCAGACTTTTGCTGCTGCGGCGGCGTTGGCTGGGCTTGTTGCTGCTGTTGCGGCGCTCTAGGTTTAGAGCGGAGGTTTTTGGATGTCGGAAATGTGGTGGGTGTAAGGAAGGAGATTACCGGAGGGGGAGGACATGATCGAGAAGCTGCGCGCACTCATTTGAGGAGGTCTTCCACGTCCCCTTCTTAACAGTGGCGGCTGGGAAAAAGCATTTGGGCTAGCAAGAGTTGGAAAACATAATCTGTAATGTCTCAATGATATATATGATGGTTCATGCCTCAACTTTTGCTCCCTGCCTCACTGTCACGGTCTTACTCAGTCAGTCTTTTGATGCCCTCCCTTCTCGGTGTCCACAGCAACACTGCTTCGCTCAGCTTCTGCTTCACCCGGCGGCACCTGCTCGCCGCCATCCCGTTGTTGCTCCTGCTGTGAGTCCTCCCAAAGCGAAAGCGCCTCCTCTCTCGCCAGCATCTTCGTCCTACCCTTCGCCCTCTCGCTCAACACCGCTCTCGCCCTAACGCCTCTCTTCCTCGCCACCGCCGTGCTCACCTTCAGCCCAACTGGATCCTCTACAAACTCCACCGCCAACAACACGGCCGAAACAACCAAAAACCCCATGACGACAAACATCCCACTCACCTCCAACGCAATAAACACCGTACTCCTATACCTAATCACCGCCGCCACCCCTCCCACAATCGTCGCAAGCACAATCAACATGCCCGGCTGCCCCGCCCCCACCGCCAGCGCCACCGCGCTCAGCACAATCGGCCACAGCGCGTTCATCGTGTACCAGTACACCTGTGACACATGCAGCGGCATGCGGGTCCAGTTTTTGATGGCGATTGAAACCATGGCCAGGTGCTCGGCGTCGCCACCCCTGAAGGCGAGTTTGTACCAGGCCATGAGGAAGGTGATGGTGTTGAGGGAGCGAGAGAACATGTGCTCTAGGGTGGCGAGGGCCCAGACTAGATAGCCGACTTTGACTGCCTCGAGTTTGCGGGTTTTCCATTTTTGGGCGGTTCGTTTTTTGTTTTCTTCGGAGTCAGGGTTGGAGGAGGAGTCGGAGTCGGAGGAGGAGTCGGAGAGGTGGAGGGTGGACATCCCACCCAGATCACCGGCTTGAGAGAGGTCAGAGGGGTCGGGAACTCCGTAGATGGTTAACGTGGCGATGGCCACCCCGCCCCCAAAATCCCAGACCATTTTTTGGATGAACGAGAAAGCGTACCACCACCAACTGAAACCCAGCGCGTACTCGAGAAAGAAAGCTGGGTTGCTTAGACCCAGACGTAGGTCCTCCATGGGAGTGTACCACATCCAGTTACCTAACCAAGGGCAGAAAATGGTGCGAATGTGATTCAACAAAATGGCGATGAAGAGGTAGATGAAAAGGGGACCGTGGCCGGATGAGAGGAGAGCGGTCTTGAGGAGTGGCCAGTGGTCGATGGCGCCGCCGGTGAAGGCGCCGGCAGCAAAGTTGTCGAGGACGGTGAGGAGGCCGGTGTTTTCGGAGGCTGAGTCGGTGGTGGGGGTGGTGTCAGTGTCGGGGTTGGCGCTGGAGAGGTTGGTGGAAGGGGGTTGAGGGTCTGAGGAGGAGGAAGAGATGGCCGGGCCGCGGAGTAGGCGAGAGAGGCGGGAGGGGATGAAGCGTGTGAGAAATGACCCTGCCCCGCCTCCACCTTGGAGCTGGGGGAAAGTGGCGAAGGAGGAGGTGCGTTGGGAGAGGAAGCGCATGTCATTTATGGTGTATGTTGCCGTCGAGGTGGTTGAGCGTTTACGGAGGTTCTTGACTTTCTCGACGAAGGCAGCGGCGCGGAGGCGATACGGAGAAATGCCGAGGGGATGCGATTTGGCTGCATTCGCTGCCAGTTGTAAATCCACCGATAAGTTCTGGGCCCTGGTGGTAGCGCGGGAACCCTCCTTCGTCAGTCGACTAAGAACCAACAAGGCCGTGTCATAGTCGGGGTCGCTCGGTTCCTTGATGATCAACGGGTTGTGGGTGTTGCCGTTGGGTAACTCCGACATGAAGGGGTAGCTGGCTATGCCTTCCATAAAGTTGGCAACATTCACGAGAATGTCGAGCGGTAACCAGCTGTCATACTCCTTCAGGAGCTCCTCGTAGATGGGCTTCTGAGCGATAATCATTGCGAGCGAGCGCAGGTCACGAGCCAGGTCCGCGAAGATGTAGATGAGTGCCGCTGTCAAGCCGTTGGCATCGTCGTAGAACTGGCGGAGTTTCTTGGGAACATGGTCAATCCACACGGTTTGCACCTTGGTGAGTTTACTCGGGGGAGCTCCTAGCTTCATAGGCACATATTCGTCGGGGCGCCGTTCAAAGCCTTGCCGGGCTTGATGCAAGCGTGTGCACCAAGTGGCAGAGCTTCCCGTTGCCAAGATGGATAGCAAATAGAGGGGTCTTTCCAACGCGTCCTGAGCCTGCTTGATAAGCCCGGTACATCGGACCCGGTCTTCCGTTGCCGGGACGGAAATAGGGCCCGTCAAGAAGTCGTTGAGCACCAGCAGGAAGACCAAGGTGTCGGTGATGACACCGATCATCATCATCTCCGCCACAGCACCTTCATCGGGATCAGACAGATTCCACCTGGCTAAACTCCAGTGCATGTTCCAGTGTGTCCACGCGTAGAGCGCCAGCGAGGATGTCGGGGCATTCTGATCAGACTGATCGTGAACATGACCCAGCCGGAGAACGGACCGGCTACAGATGACGGCGCATTGCCCGGCGACAATCATGTTTGCCTGCTGGACATTGAAGCCCAGTCGCTGCACTGGTGCAGGCAGGTCTGAACCCCTCACCTCGAACATGACCGTGGCCAGTTCGGGGTCGCTCAGGGCGACATTGGTCTTGGTGTGGTCCGGATTGCGAGGGTCCGGGTGGAAAGATATCAAGCCTCCGAGCAGGCCAGTGAGGGAAGCAATGGCGGTCTCCTCATCGAAAGAAACGCTGTTGTTGATGAATATATCGAGCTGGTCGCTGCCTCGGGTTGAGTGTGTCTGCTGTATCAGGAGGGCAAGCCAGAGTTCTCGGGACTGGATGGGGCGCGCGGAGACGCAGAGCCAGCAGAGAGCTATGCGGGCGAGTATGAATTTGTCTTCATTCCGAATGGATTCGACGACGCAGCATATCTCCTGGTGAAGTCGATTCCGCTTGTCGTTGTCCATGATCGGTGTGGTTGGGAGAGCGAAACACGGAGGTGATTACCGGTATGGCCAAACAGGTAGGATCCGTTCTGGCCCTGCGATGTCAAAGACTGCTGTGAAGTTGTGAACAGGATTGTCATCTTTATAGACCCAAACAGATAGATTACACCACCTCTCCGGCTCTCGGCTGCAGCGCCATGGGGCTTTGAGACCCAGTGAAGCGCTGGGTAAGGCATATTGAAACACAATCGGAGTTCAGCCGCTCCCTGGAGCCAATGGTTCTTGTCGATGATCGCTGCACTGCTTGCGCCACAAATTCGATAGTGCGGAGAGTGGGACGGGCGATGTCTTCAGTGACGGAAGCCATGAAAGCTGGTTGCAATGGCGTGACGTCCCAGCTTGGCGGTAGGTGCCAAATGCGGTAAGTGTTCCGAGACTTTCAACGTCCGCCGTTATCTTCGTTCAACGCCTTCTCTCTTCTACGGCAAGTTGATGAACATAGATGAGAAACAAGAACAAAATAAGATGCCGTTATCAGCTTGTATGACCGTCTACCGCGTTCCTCTGATGTCTTGCTATCTGCCTCTAAAGTGTCAACCACTCCTCACAACGGTTGAACCTGCAACCGGATGGCATCATCGTAACTGCGTGCGCCAGCGTCTTCCCTGAGCTCCAGGCCCTATCGATATTTTTCTCATATGCAAAATATGCAGCCAGAAAGTCGTTAAAATCATGTTCATAACTCATATCGTCGTTAAATCGTCATTCCGCGAACAGCCTCTCCCTTTTCCTCCCAAATGTTCGACCAAAGAAAGTCCTTGTCAGCCTCAGTGAACTCAAGCAATGACGCCCATCTCTACGGTCTCCCCCGATGTTCCTCTCTTCTGACTCTCATCACTCTCCTTCCCCTTGTCCAGCGGCTGTACTCTTCGAGGGACCTCCCTCACAAACGCACCAACCTTTCCTCCATTTCCGTCTCCCAGTCCAACCATTTCGGCTCCTTCCTTGCCAACTACTCCAAACTTGACAATAACCGCACCTAGGTCGCTAGGCAGGTACGTCTTTGCTGCATCCGTTCCGGCCTGTTCGCGCAGCCAAGGTGTTTGAGAACTCTTGAGCAGCTCGCACAGCCCGCCTAGACGGAGGACGGGGATGGACTCGCGGGAGTGGGTGTGGCTCAGATAGAACGAGAGAAGGATGATGACAGTAACCAAGAGGAGAGGCAGCAAGAGGAGGAGGAGGGCGCGCGACCGGGAGAGGAACTGGAGGGGGTAAGTGGAGGTAAAAAGTGTGGTGTTCTCGGTGGATCCGGACTGAGACGCAGTGCTGGATTGTAGAAGGGCACCAATGGAACGGTGGATGAAGGACTCGATCCCATCGACCGTCCAGGTATTACGCTGGGAAGTCTGACCGGTGTAGGCTACGGCGCGGTTGGTGGAGGTGGAGTTGGAGAACATTGGCTGGACACCTGATACACTCGGAGCGGAGAGGATGGGTGCAACGGCAAACCAGAGGAGAAGTTCGTTGAGGGCGGTTGAGGGGCTGGAAGTGTTGGTTTGGAGGGTTTCGAGCGACGAAAGGGTCGGGAGCGTCGTGTTATCCGAGTGGATCAACGGGTTGCCGACGGTGATGATATCGTCTGTAGCCGCTACGACGACCTCGCAAGCTATCGCTGAGACACTGTTCATGGTGCCGAGCGCAATGGAGGACTGCTTGCCGCCTTCGATGGTTCCGTTGAGAGCGGCAAAAACAAGAGTCGCCTTGGTTCGATGGGATGCCTCAAAGGTGAAATTGTCGGCCCAAAGCGTCAACTGGGGATACGGGCGCACGTAGACCTCTGCTGGAGTACGTTTCTCGCCCCTTAGAGAGCTGATGTTTGTGCGGGTCCAGTTGGTAGGAAAGGCGTTCAACGGCTTCCCACTTCGGACAAGCTGTTCGACTGTGCGTGGGCTGCACGATACAGTTGTTTGCAGTTTGACGGCCCGAGCAGAGAAGTTTCCCTTCGTGCCGAGCACCTCCCGATCAACATACCAATTCCGGTATTCTGGCAGAGGTTCCGAAGCTGGGTCCATGGCCCACGAGTTGTACGTAGTTAGGACGCCCATGTTGGCAAAACTCGGTGCTTCGGTTTGCATGAATGACTCTGCGAGCCCACCGCCAGGCGTGTAGTTGCTCTTGAGTTCGACCTCCCTCGACGTCGATGTATACGCCTGCCCAACCAACGGGATTCCAGCGAGCGGTGTCAGAATTGCTGCTACCGCACTAACGAGCATCACTCCCATGGCAACAGTCTTGACTTCTTTCAAGGCCCTCGGAGCAGCTAGAATAGACCCCCGTGTCGTCGCCAGGTATGCCTCCAGACCCCTCATTGTCATGGTCTGCTTGACCACCAGCGGCCATACCGCGGCCTCACATAGCGCGAGGGCCACATAGGCAAGTGCCCCCAGCCCAGTGATGTAGACGAGAGTGATGATACCCTGAACAGTTGGCAGGTGTTCGGCCGTCCATCGGTCGATTGTGCGACAATCTTCTGCCCAGTCTGGGCACTCTAGCGGTCGTTTGCTTGTGACAGTGGTGAAGACAATGGCGACAATGACAAAGATGATACCTGCAAGGAATGCTGCTGGAAGAGAGAGGTGTCTGCCTACAAAGGCCCACCACCCAAGTCGTCGTGATTTCGAGCTTGTGTCGTAGATAAAGTCGTGATGCGACGCGAGGCGACGAACCTCTCTGGCTGTTGGGGTGGCCATTGCCTCCTGCTCCGGATCCCCAGCCCGTTCTCGTTCTCGATCGTTATCCAGTGTGCTACCACCAGTATCTGTGGAGGGGCGGTAGGGTTTGGCACCTGTGACAGGTTTGTAGTTGCTGTAGATGCTGCCGTTCTGATGATGATAAGGGACTTGACGATGGTGGCCGTGATGATGCGAAAGTGGCAGTGACAGGTCCGAGTTGAATTCCTCCTTGAAGATGGACTGGTGTGAGCGGGTCGAGTGTTGTGTGCGAGTGCGGAACAGCGAAGCAGGGCGCGAAGGCTCGGCCGCAGAGCCTGAAGATTCCAGTCCAAACATGACGACCAGTGGGTGTTTTATGTTTCTTCAGAGAGCATTGGGCAGTGGCCTTTGTGGTCTGTCTTTGGGAGAAGACCGAAGACTCGAGAATGTTGGGTTCGTATACACCGTCCAGGCGCTTTTCGAGCTTTTGTTTTCGTCAGTCAACCACAGGCGAACTGAGAGAAAGAAGAAGAAGCCGGCAACGAGGGGTTGTGGACGGAAGTCATGCCAAAACTCACATTTTCTGCCATCAGCCGTCGTCCATCGAACGGATTCCCTTGAAGCCCAAAAGTAAAACTTCCAGACCCTGCTAACCTGCATGCAAACGCTCCATCGCCGCGATACGTGGCGGGTAGCTGTACCAATCGACAGGGGATTCGGAATCTTTCTTGACCAGTCATTTCAGCCAAAGAGTTGTCAATCGGGACAACTCCATGTCCAAATCAGTCGAATCAGCTCATCTGGGTGGATCCTCGCTCACTCTTATCGCTGCCAGAGGATTTTGGCATTTCGAAAGCTTTCCGATACTCAGAAACATTGAAAATGCAGTCAAAGGCCTATTGAGGCACAAGAGTGAAACCGTCCGATGTTTTTGCGATGTTTGCTCAAGAGAATGACGCAGGAAAGAGGAAGGAAGTTCAGTTGACGTTGAAAGTGGACCGTGTCATGTGAGCGGGGGCCACCTGGAGAGGAGTGACTGTCAGAGGCCAGGGGATCTACTGGGCGTGTACGTGCCTAGCTGGACTGGGATATGCGGGATTTTTACCCAGATGCCAGAGCTTCGAGTCTGCAGAGCCAGTCTTACACACACACCTAATCAAGCCACGTTGAACCTATATCGATTATTACTAGTAATATTACAATTAAGAGTCTTATCGATTTGACTATTGAAGCCATCGCTAGCAATAACAACTGATAAAACGACTACTACTAATATCTACGACCAAAATTAATAGTGTTACTTTTAATAGCCCTAAGGATTAGCCGGCTTAGGAGAATACTTTTATTTCTATAGCCTAAGATTTTAATTTCTAGAAGTATATTAATCCCGATAATTATATATCCTAGCTAATTAAGCTAATAGAACCTAATATTGCTAATTACTAGGGGGAAGTTCCTGCTAAAAAAATTAAGAAAGTTAAAAAGGATAAGGAGGTTACCTTATTTACTACCATTAAATTTTATAGCTTCTATTATAAATGCGACTATTGTAATTATATAATTGAGAAGTTAAATTAGCGTATAGAGGTTAAGACTTTTTTTAATTTAAGTATTAAAAAGACTACGCTAAGTCGCTAGATGTTTAAAATTGTTAGAAATAATTATTAGGAGATTAATTTTATTAAATGTATTAGTCTATACGAATGGTACGATAATTTTAGTAAGTTTATTGCTTTTAATAATTATAAGGTAAAAAAGCTTGCCCGGATTAAATTTATTAATATTTTTAAACCCTTTAGTAGAGTTAATTGTAATTAGCATAATTAAACCTTTTATTAGGAATCGGCTATAGCCCTTTATATTATTAAAGGAATTGTTAGAGTAAATAAATTAGACCTATAGTTCCTAAAGTTCTATATAGTTATAAAGTCAAGTCCTTATACCGCTTAGGTAAATAATTACTAATTCTAATATAATAAGGAGATTGAAAGAAATTTCAATTTTAAAATCTCTTTCCGTATTATAACTAAGGATTTTCGTAAAGTAGTAATAGTAAGTATTATTTAAGAAAAGGGTCGCGCCCCCTTATTTAAGGGTATTATATTCGTAATTATATTAAGTAATAAGCCTGCTAAGGAGGACGCTCCTAATAACGAATAAAATTTTAGCCTGGAGGTAAAGTGATAAAGAGAGGCTATAAATAAAAATGGTAAATTTAGAAAGAATATTAATAAGAATAAATATATTTCCTTTTTGTCCCTATTAGCGAATAAACGACTACGATAATCCTTATATAAATTCTATAAGTAATTAAATTATAATTTAAATAAGTATTATTACGCTAAGTTATAATTAGTTTATAAAGGCTAAATTAAAAATCATATTATTAAAAAGCGTGCGTTCGCTAATTTAAAGAAGAATAAGATACTTAAAGAGGCCGTTAATTGTTTACGAATGTAGTAGAATAATAAGGATTAAAATAATTAATTCTATAATCGTCGGGTAAGTAAGAGTAGTTTCTTAATATTTATAATGAAATATAGCGTTGTATACCTATTAAAAGACTTTATAATCCTTAATTTAAATATAATAATATATATTTTTAATAAAATTAATCGCTTTAAAGACTTTACCCCTTTAAATATTAGTAAATATATATAGGCGGTAAATAAGCGGATTCCTATAAAGGGGTATAGTACTATTATAATTATAATTTAAGACGATAACGGAAATAGAGAGTTTTAATTCCCTAACGTTATTCTAGTACCTGGTATAACTTATAATTTCGTTTCCTTAAAATAATTCGAAGATAAACAAATCTATTAGGACTATAAGAATAATTACCTATATTCCCGCCTTATAAACTCCCTTATTTATTATATCCTTTCTAAATATAAATAATTTATTTTAAAGTATATCCTTCTATAGAATAGTATCAACGAAATTTTTATTATTATATAATATATAAATTATATTGAACGGAAACCTTAAAAGGGTAAGCCCCTTCGCTAATATTTTCGATTTAATTACTTAAGACCTAAGACTTTAATTAAGTTAATAGAGTAAAAGTATAATATACAATTTAAAAGACCGGATATAATATATTATAAACTATATATTAAAATTAAATTAAAGTGCTAATTGCATAAAAAAGCTCGTAATTACTTAAAAGGCCCTAAATTATAATTAACCGTCGATTTCTTCTTTTATAAGGAGGTAAAGGTAAAGAGCTGGAAATACTCAAGTTTAATAATGGTCGTAGATTGGTAATTTAAATTCGTTTAAGTATATTATTTAGGTAATAGAGAAGCCGAATTTATTGTTACGTATTTAGAATCCCTCTATATAGGGCTATAGATTTAATACTAAATCGTACTTCGGGTAATCGAATATAATAATGAAATAATTAGTAGCAAAAAAATTATTACTTAATTTATAGCAAAGAGAATTAATATTGAGCCTTTAGTACTTTATATACAAATTTAAAACGGTAGCGTAGAGTATTTAGGGGGTATAATTAAAATGAAAGGTATAATAATACAATTAAGTATAAATCTTCCTTACGAATTATAAAAAAAAATTATTAAAGTAACTATATATTTATACAATTTAACCCCTAAGGCGGAATATTATTAGAAATCTCCTTAAAATCAATTCGAAATGTACTACTAATTTAAAAACGGTATTATTCCTTTATTAAACCCCTCCCTTACTATTGTATATCTTAAAGTATATAATTATAAAACCTTTATTTTTATAATAAAAATTATAAAAGAATAAAATAAATTAATAAAATTTGAACATTGTATTTAAATCGGCCATTTAATTAAATACTAATTCTATTATTATAATACGAAACGTCGTATTTAATAAAAACGAAGTCTTCTTTAGTAGTAACGTTAAAGAAATTTATAATACTTTTAATATCTCCCTTAAAAAACTAATTATATGATTAAAAGACTTTTATTAAATGAATATTGTGTAAGTAAACGTCCTATAGGTTGAAGCTATATCTATTATAGGTAATAAAATTATTAACCCTATTATTTAAAACTTTTTTACCGAAACTGAAAATATATTAAAAGAAGAGGAAGAATTAAAGTTTCTAAAAATATAAATGTAATTTAAATTTTTAGAAGTCCTATAAATATTAAAGATATTATTAAATTTAGAAATATTGTAAAAGTCTCTAAAACCTTTATTATTACTACTCGTACAATCGCCGTTGGATTTTTAAAATATAATCTTAAATTCAAAGAATAAAAAAGAAAGCTATTTCCCTATACCTCCTAATAATCTAATTGTATTTCTAATAACTGACCTCTTTCGTTCCAATAAAGAATTATAGCTAACTATAAATTAATACTTTTATTAGGCTGCGTCGTTCTTATTTATAAAGCGTAATCGACCTATAGGCCTCTAAGGAGATAAAATCGTAGATTAAACCTTCCTAGAATAAATAAAAGAGGAGGGTATCGATATTAATCCCGGCTATAATTCTAAATTAAAAATAATAAAAGATATTATTAATTGCTATAAAGTAAAGGATACGTTAAAGACCCTCTATTAAACTAATTTTCTACCTCTTCTAAAGTATTACAGTAATTTTAATTTTTATTCTTTTAGGGAATTCTTTAAAGCTATAGAGAAAGAATACCTAAATAAGTATAAGGATAAGAAGTCTTAGAAATAAATTAATATCGAAGAAGTAGGAAATAACGAAATATTCGGTTCGATATAGGTATATATTTATAAATTCAATTAAAATGGCCAGTTTTTTAGGTATAAAGTACGTTTAATTGTACGTAGGGATTAGTAATTTAAAGATAGCGTACGTAAAATATATATAATGACTCTAGTAATTAGGTCGTTTTATATCCTAATAATTATAGCCGTTTACTTTAATTTTAATTTAATTTAATATAATGTAAAGAATACTTTTATTAATATTATATTCGATAAAATAATATTTATAAAAGTTCACTCTAAATATATTAGGAAAGGTTAATTATTTTAATTACTACGTACGCTATGTAATTTACGGAAATTTCCCCTCTTTTAATAATAAGAATTTATTAAAACTTTTGTAATTATAAGTATAAACCCTCTCCTTATAGAATCTAATATTTTAAATTAAAGATAATATATTCTTCTTCTTCTACGTCGACGATATTGTTATTATTTATAGGTATAAAAATAAAGAGATAGCTATAATTAAGGAAGTAGTAGCCGCTATAGAGAGGAAGTATTAATTAATGGGTAGAAAGTTACTAAAATAGTTTTTAGGTATCGAAATTATTTGAAATTGAAAGAAGAGACTAATTTAGTTATTATAACGCAATTATATTTAAAAGATCGCGGAGAAGGTTAAACGTATTAAAAAATTATTTTTTATGCTTATAGTTAAAGAAGAATTCTTATTTTATTAAAATAATGTAGCCCCGTATGAAATTTATATGTATTAAATTAAAATCGGTTTAATTCTCTATATTATTATTATGTTGCGATTAGATGTAGTTTTTCTAATCTTTAAATTTATTCGATTTAATTCAAATCTTAATCTAATATATTATATAATTATAAATCGAATATTATTTTACTTTCTTACAATTTAAAATTATACCATTCAACTAAATAGTAAAGACCGCTAGGATTCTTATGTTATAATTAATTCCTTATTTATAAATAATTTTCTTAATTAAAAGAATTTATAAGCGTTTATATTCAAATTCTTACGCGCTATAATCGATTAGCGAGCTAATAAATAAAATATAGTTATAACTTTATTTATAGAAGCCAAATTATTATCCTTTAATTAAGGAGCTAAGGAGGCTATTTATATTCGCTGTCTCTTTAACGAATTTATTCTAAGGTTCGAAAATTAAAAGGCTACGCCTATAGATTATAATAATAAATAAATAATATAATTTATTATAAAGGAGGGAATTCGGCTCGTAACTAAATTTAAATATATCAACATATATAATATTAATTAAAGTAAGCGTAAGAGAGGAAATTAGTAGATGTAGTTTTCGTACTGATTAAGGAGTAGATTGTAAATAGCTTTATTAAGAGCCTCCTTCCTATAGTATATTTGAAGTCTATAGAGTAATTAGGGCTTAAAGAATTATAATGGTTATAAATTCAATTACGAGAATTTAGTAGTAGAAATATTGCTATAGGCTGCCCGAAGGGTATAGAGGACTCTATAAAGGAGGATTCGGGTAACGAATTGGTAAATATAATAGTAAGTATAGTAGGGTAAAACTTTTACGAGTAACGGCTTAAAAGCTACTATAACGAGGAAGCAATTTGGGAATAGTATTATTTCTAACTAGTTTTAGAAGGATTTTAGGGTATTTTAGGGCATTTCTGGATAGATCTGACGTAGTTTATGTATTAAATTTAAGGGAGTGTATTAGAAGCTAGGGGATTTACTGAGCGTGTACGTACCCAATTGGACTAGGATATACGGGATTTTTACCCAGATATTAGAGCTTCAAGTCTATAGAGCCAGTCTTACACACACACACAATCAAGCCACGTTGAACCCATATCGATCATGACCAGTAATATCACAGTGACCGGCAGCTGTATCCAGCGGTATCCTTGCATGACACACGGAAAATATCCCTTTCGACGGGCAATGAGGGGCTCTTTACTGTAGAACAAGTCACCACGGCAACGCGCGCACACTCCACACTGTATTTATTTCACCTTGGCGGGGCACATCCTTTCCTCTTCCTCTTCGTTTTCCTCAACCATCATCACTTTCACCTTCAACCTTTACCTTTTCCCACTCCAACTTCCAAACACTCTCACTTTCTGAACTGAACAACGTCAACCAGTCTTCAAAAATCAACGTAGTCTACGGTTTGGTCACCCAACTTTCTCTCACTTCCTCAGCAACTGCATCTACAAGCTTGGATGAACGCACACCCCTCTCACTACTACAACTTCTTCTTTGTCAACCTCACTTTCTTCATTCCATCATCACAGCTACAGCAAGCAAATTCAGCGCGACGCAGCTAGCCCCTCTTCATTTCTCTTTTGAAAACCTCACTTTCTTCACTTCGTGATAACAGCCACAGCAAGTACAAGGCAGCGCGACGCAGTCATGTCGACCCCGCAAGCTACCCAGGAGCCGCAGGATGCGCTGGTGCAGAGCATCGCGAACCTTGTCAACACCACGGACGCGTTGGCGGAGATTATCGCTCGCGTTAACAACAGCCTCTCAGAAACTTCTCAAGCTGATGAAGCTTTCACCGTCGCCTTGGTTTATCTTGAGAATGTCAAGGGCCAGTTCCTCAACCTCGTCGCAAGCGCACAGGAGGCTGCCAGCTTGAATCTTGCTACCAAGCTGCAGATTGAACAGGCGACCAAGCAGTTGGAGCAGCTGCAGAAGAAGATCAAAGACCAGCTGGAGCTGGACTCGAAGGAAGTTGCGGGGCATATCAAGAAGCAGTTTGAGCTGGCTTTCAAGGTGATGTCGGAGAATTTCAAGAAGCAGTTGGAGCTAACCTCAAAGGAGATGGCGGACGACTCAAAGAATATGGCAGATAAATGCGTCAAGGCACTGGCTCTTACTGGTGAGGCCATGGTCGAGCAAGTCGAGAAACTCGAGCACACTTCAGAGGAGATGGAGAAGGATTCAAAGAAGATGTCGGAGCAAGCCAAAGAGGAGATCAAGCAGATGGCAGAGAACGCTAACAAGACGATCATTAATTCTTCAGAGGCCATGGTTGACCAAATCTACAACCTGGAGTACGGTGCCGACGAGATTCAGGTGGACGTGAGGGAGGTAAAGGAGCAATGCAAGGAGGTCTTGGGTCAGTCAAAGGAGGTGATGGTACTGACAATGGAGGAACTCAAGCTCGCAAAGGAAGACATGCAGCGCGAGAGACTGCTGTTCAAGGACCAGCATGACCGTCTCGAGCAGAAGATCGAGGAGATGTATCGTGTCCTGGAGGGCAGAGACGCCGAGAACAAGGGTCTCAAGGCACTTTACAGCAAGCTGAGCTCACATGCACTTCGCAGTGTCCAGAACGCCACCAACTTCCGCGACGCGCAGTACAAGTTCCTCGTCGACGGGTTTGCCAGATTCGAGCAGAAGATCGCCTTCATCACTCACCACATCGGCAACACCAGCGCGATCTCCGGCAAAGCCTCAACTGCCGTCACCACTAACGATGCATCCAAGGCTGACAAGACCAGCAAAAGCCCCAAGAGCACCAAGGAGGACAAAATCGCCGAGTTACAGAAGATCGTCAGAGACCTCAAGTACGAGCGCGACGTCCTCACCGGCAACAACAAGCTCCTCGAGCTCCGCCTCGCCAAATTCGAGCAGGAAGCCCTCGCCACTTCCCCCGCACCCGAGCAACCCGTCCCCGACACTCCGTGCCCGACGCTCAAGTCCACCAAATCCAAGCGCTCCCTCACCGAGACCGGCGAGCCTCTAGCCCAGCTGACCCTCTCCGACTCAGAGACCACCACCGTCGTCGCCAGCGCCCGCCCCTCCGTCGAAAGCCTCATCCAGCCCGACCTCTGGGAGCGCCTCATCGCCCCGGCTTTGCTCAGCGACGAGATCAAGCGTCGCCTGCGCCTGATCAAGCCCCAGGTAACCGGCGGTCTGCGTCTCGAGACGCTGTTCCTGCGCGTGGTCAACATCGCCGTGCACGATCAGGCCTGGGAGAACTTCGACTCCCTTTTGAAACAGGGCACGATTTCGCAGTGGTACTGCGTTGATGGCTTGGTGAAGAATGGTTTGGGGCGCGGCTCCACCATTCTGGTGGGTCACCAGTGCGATGGCCGTAAGGGGGAGGAGGGCAAGGGCGGGGAGTGTTTGAGGGTCATGCGCACCCAGTTGGATTATGGGAAGGTTATGTTTAGGCATTATACCTTCTAGAAGGTATAATGCCTGGACTGACTGACCTTCCCAGCCAGCTGGGGAGGCGGTGCCCTGGTGGGGTAGTTTGTTGGGTGGGTGGAGGGTCGGTTCCTTTCTTTTCGTGGTTGGAGTAGATGCCCTGGCGGGATCATTCTCGGTTTCTTTTTCTATGTATATAGTATTGTAATAGGTTGCTGTTGTCTGGGGGTGCTTGGCTTCCGTTGGGCCCCCCAAAGAGCGCCTAGTAATGATTAATCGACATCCCATCCCACCATGAAGTCTTCTATGCCTTACGATGCTGTGATTATGTGTTTTACGCAGCAGCAAACGCGTGGCCAGATCTTGCAGATGCTTAACCATATCCTTTCCAGATGTTGAAGGTTTGTGACAAGGCATTTTCGTGCATTTCGATGACCTTTTGGACGCTAACAATAACCTTTTTCAGAGCTCGAAAAGCACTCAATCAGCATCTGGACATGAGAGTAAAAGTGTGATTCGAACGACGATGTGGCACATGGTGGGACTTGATTCTCCAAAGCAAATGATATGAAGCAACGATTAGTTGATCTATATTAGGAGTGGAGGATGGACAATGTTTGAGATGTCTACAGACAGAGCGTTCCCACAGGGACGTGATGCCAAAGGTAAGGGGAGGTCGAAAAGTACATTAATCTCTAGCCCTTCCTGAGAGGAGGAAGGGTCTAACAACTGTTTATCTATATGAAGACGGCCGTCTCCTTTGCAGCGTAGTCTCGTGTTGCCTCAGAGCCACTCCGACGCCACCCCGCGAGATCTCTCCCTTGAGCGCCGGCGCCTTTCGGCCCCAACACCGACTCCTGTAGTAGCATGCGTCCTTGGGCCTGAAAGTCTACTCTACAATGAATGATTACATTAATGTACAAGTACTCAATATGACGTTCCTGTTACTCTCCCTACACGCTCTCAATTGCGTTGTTGCTGACTCGCAGCTTGCTCCCTCTGCAAATCTAAGAGGCGCAGGTTAACCATACTTCTGTGGCCAACCTGGATTCTTTTTATCCCATTTCTGGAGGCCCCAAATGGGTAGCGACCCCGACCGTTGACAAAAACCCCGGCCACCTCGAAAGACGTGCGATATGGCACAAGCTCACTGGTCCATGTCTGATTAAAGACCGTCATGCCCTGGGGTACGGTATCTGGGTTATCATGACACCACATGGTCTGTGTCGTGATGTTAGACCAATCCCGCTGCAGCCTGTCCATAAAGAGTACGAGGTCTGACGGGAGAGAGGGGTCCCGACGAAGCCTAGATCTATCACAATGCTCCCAAGGCCTCATCTCAATGTAGGAGTCTTTGACCGTGGTTCTTAGAAGCGGCATAGTCTGAGCCAGCACATCTAATTTTCCGAAACAGACTGCCATGGAAGGAATGGAGATGGTAGATCGAATTGGCGGCAAATTGGCCCGTCGTGTTACCAAGATGTCAAATAGGTCTTTCTTTCCGATATTAGATAGACGTCGACAACAGTCGATTGCGTGTTCTTTGGTGTTGCACCAAGGGCACCCCTCAATGTCGCCGAAAATGGATGGCGGCCCGAAGCAGTCGGCCAATTCGTGGTCCGGGCTCCGACACGCTCTATTGCCGCAGGGTCTTGAATTTGGCCTAGGACGTCCTCTGGAGTCTTGAGCGGACGTTTGAGGTCTATATGAGTCATATGACTGGTTTCTGTTCTGTGTGGCTTCAGTCGGGGTCTGCGACTGTTGTTTCGCTTGGGCGGGTAAATGAACCTCATGGCGACCAAGCAGGCCCATGCTGGTCAGCGTCCTCAGAGGGAGTCCTGGCTGTGCCCTCTTGGGTTGCGGAGCTAGGGCCATGGTGTCGGCCGCGTCGAGGCTCCGCTTGTTTGAACCACGGCTTGCTTTAGCTGTCGACGTTGAGTGTGCCTCTGTCGCAGAGGTCGCGGTAGGAGCGGGCTTAGTTTCCCGTCTCAGTTGTTGGTCAATGTCGCCGCTCGTGATGTTGGGCTTGTTTGAACCACTGCTTGGTTTAGTTGTCGACGTTAGGTGGGCCTCTGTCGCAGAGTTCGCGGGAGGAGCTGGCTTGGCTTCCTGTTTCAATGGTTGGTTGATCTCGGCGCTCGGAAGACCAGCGTCAAGGCTCGGCTTGTTTGAATCACGCCTTGGTCGGGCTGTCGACGTTGGGGGAGCCTGTATCGCAGGTATCTCGAGATTGGCTCGCTCGGTCTCCTCTCTCACTAGTGGGTCGATATTGGTGCTGGTGATGGTGACATGCTGGGACCGGCCTGGTGCACTCTGGGGAGACATGTCCCTGGGTGTAACCATACGGCTGGCCATGTGTCTCTCACGGAATCTTTCTGCGAAGAAATTGTCGTACTCGGAGGAGAAAGGCCCAACGTGAGCTGACGGCTTTGTGTAGTAAAATCTGTCGTTGCCAAAGTCACCGCGGGGGAGGGCGTATCCTGGACATGTAGCTTGGTTAGAATGGGCCAACAGAAGAGGTGATATATGTATATCAGCTAAGGAGTGTTGATCGAAGGCGTTCGCGTGTAGGTAGCTTTACTGGGGAGTTGCGACAAACGTACCTCTCATCCACAAACTAAAATCCAGCGCATAGAGGTGTGCCGCGGTGAACACGCGGCTCAATCCGAGGTTGTAAAACCTCATCATGACATCCTGAGACCCCTCTAGATACCATTCTTGGATTTTGGCTGCTGCTGCGCGTTGCGCGGGGGTCACGCTTGCACGCCCGGAGTGTTCCAGAATCTCATCCAGAGGGTCCTAGAGCTGGCTAACGCCGAAGTGGGTTTTGGCAATCTGGCGGGCCACAAACCAGTTCCGGTGATACTCATCGTTGTACCTGATCGTGGTGACCACGCTGGTGTAAGTTGGTGGTGTCGGTGTATGCCGATCTGGGTATCTCATTGCCGCCAGCTCCTGCATCATCTTGTCCATGACGGGGTGGTCCAACGCAGCAACCGGCGCTGGAAATGCATCTGGATTCATTTTTAAGTCATGAATGGTTGGATAACAGCGGTTCCAATATCTGTCGAGGCCGCGTGGTCGTACGGAGATTGGAAGTGACTGTGTATGTCTGAGGTTGACGAGGAGGGGCCCGAAATGTGGATGGGAGAAAGAGTGTGAAGTTTGGGAAGGGAGCAAGGCAGGTGCGAAGGAGGAAGGAGAAAGGTTTTCTAATTCAGCATTTGTACCCCGCGTACTCGTCAAACTTAAAATTTGTGCGTTGCCTTCGGAGGGTGGAGAACCGGAGTGAATGGTTTGAATCTCGTCCCAAGTGAATGGTGCGGATCGGCAGCAGGCTCCTGCCCTGGGCACACAATTTCTGTACTGGTGAGCCAAGACCAGGTCTCATAGAGGTAGCTACCTGGTACTTAAGGTCTGTGTTTGGCAGATACTGTCACCAGACCACCGTGGGGACGGTAGTTCAGTCGTCAGAAGCGTAGCTAACTTCTCCTGGCTGTCTCCTTCCCTAGTAGAAGCGGTTCGTTCGATCCCGGAGACGGGCGGGCAATTTTTTTGCTTCTTTTTTTTTTTTTTTTTTGCTTTTTTTTTCTCTACCACCCTTCTCCTGTTACGGTTTCTCCGCTTCCTTCTTTTGGTTCTTCCACAATGCCTTTTAGGTTGTTCAATATCAGGCAACGCGTTGGAGATTACAATGACATGGTTCTCTGAAGTGCACGTATTGACTCCTCAGTCTCCTCGTCCGACGTCCCCGGAGAGGCCAGTGTGCAAAACAGGATGCGTGTACACTGAACAAATTGTGAGATGAAGTGCTCAAGAAATGTGAGATATGTCCCACAAGATGAGACGTGTCTACTCAAATCGAGATATGTGACGTCCTGACAATAAAATGAGATTCACTAGGCTCTACAGCTTTAGTATTATTTTGAGTCTTTGGGAATGCCCGGTGTTTGAAGGTTGGGAAAAGCGTCATACATATAAAGCCAATCTAACAAGCCTACCAGGAACGGATGCTTTGTTGCATCTGCCGCCCGCTCATTCATATACATAACAGAAGGGGCTGTCGCTGACAGTATCCATCAGCTTTTTTATTTGCACATCAGGCATTGTTGGACCGATGGCAATGGTCTCGTCCGTCGTGACGTTCGCACTAGGGGGTTGGTCCAGGATGGTGTGCGTGCCAAAGACGCCCTGTATAGCAATCGCAACAAGTCAGCACACCATACTGCAAACAAGGGAGGGAAAGTTCCTGGAAGTGCTACGCACCTGCCGGTTCTCAAAGTCCAAGTTTTGCCAGATCCACCAGAGGCGATCGAGCTGCCCGTGATGAAGCCAGAAGACCGGGTCGCCGGGTGATATAAACATGTCGGATCCGGGATCACCACCGATCATGAAGTGTCCGGCGATGTGGACGCCCAGCTTTTCCGGGTGGTAGCGAGGGTCGCCCTCCTGGATGTTCTTGTCAACAAAATCTCTTCTTGGCCAAGCAGGTAACCTTGAACGACTAGATGGAAACTCACCAGCGTGGTCTGGAACTCGAAAATATTCCTGGTCTGCAGTATCAGATCCGTCGTGTTTCTCAGGGTAGCAAACTTTCTCCCCAGCCCTTCGCTCAGGTCGCGCTTCAGACACCGCCTGTTATCAGCCAGAGTGTTCTCTGCCACGGTCAAGTTGCCAGGTTCTCCGTATTTTGGCAATCCTACGGGCCCGAGGTGCGTCTGCATGCCGGCAATAGGACCCGTGGTCACGCAGCCGCCACCACGGCCGTTGGGCCCTGCCGGGAGAATATTCATTTCGGTGAAACCGGGGAATATGAAGCCTGAGTCCCCGTGGGGGACCGGATCGCCGTTGCCGCCGAGCGAGGTGTCTGAACCGTCAAATATGGGAGAGGCGAGGAGGTTTTCGACGTCGAGACCGTGGTTCCAGTAAGCAAGGGCGCCTGTCGTGATTCGGATTTGGTTAGACCATTGGCTGGCGGGAAACGGGGTTCGATCAGGGAAGGGAAAGAGTTTAGACGAACCTTTGTAGCCACATTTTTGAAGACCTTGCTCGAAACCATGAAGGTAGTAGCGGTGCCAGGGAAGAAAGAGACCCGACCAATGGATGATGGGTGTCACGTTCAAGTGAAGGTAGATCAAGTCGTCAAAAGCAGAGACAGCACCGGGAGCTTCGCCTGCCGGAAGACTACTGGGACTCTCCAAAAGACACTTGAAGGCTTTGATGTAATCGCGTCTCTCAGATTTGGAAAGGTTGCGCCTGTCAACATGGTGTCAGTGTAGACCTATGGGTAACTAGTAACATTGTGTCTTGCAAGTACCTACCATTCCTTTCTGACCTTGACATTCTTCCTGTTGCACTTGCCATTGAACCTTTGATAGGCATTCCTAGAAGCCATTGCGTTGAGGCCTTGAAGAGCCACACCAGTGTCAATGGCCTTTTGTCCCCATGAGGGGAGATTCAAGGCCGACACGGGCACCGAGAGGGCCGCCGTCAACCAGAGCGCTGAAGGGATGTGCATGTTGACAATGTTGGTAGCTCTGAGAGTTGAAGACGAGAGTGACAGCAAGGACGCCTTATGTCAGATGACGACGGCGACCTTTTATACCAGGATAACATTCTGCAGATCTCTTTCTCCCGTCCCTCAGGGTCTCTCTGGCCGTCCCAGTCCCATGTAGCTGCGCGAGCTTCTTACTGAATCCGTATGCTGATCCAAATTCTGTATGCATTGCCGTGTTCTGGTGTCTTGTATAGTGATGCCTATTACATAATACTTGAATGCAAGTAAGATGCGTGGTACCTTGTGGTCCTACCCTGGGCTGCCACTCAAGACCTTGGGAGCCGCTTTTGCTACGACGGGAGAGGTAGTGCCCAGAAAGCGGGAAGAGGTCGCAGAAAATAGTGTTGAGTACGATCTCATGTCTGAACAAAGCCAGGGAGACGAGGTAAAGACGCCTGAGAATAAGGTAACCCTGTTCACAAAGACAAAAGCTGGGTATCCAATGGAGGGTTGACGGAAGAGTTTGTCTGAGCTTCAGAGCATGGGTGTGATAAGGGGGAAGTTGACCAGGTCTTCCAGTTTGCGACTGGAAAACTTGAGCCTCAAGACTTTTTCTGTTTCCTCTCAGTTCAAAGTTACCTAAGATTTTAGATTCTCCAGTGTCCAATGTCCTCCCATCGCGGCAATAACGACTGGCTCCAGTCTCTGCCAAGACCTGTGTAGTAGAGAAGGAAGGAACTGTGTTCCCATTGTTGGAGTTTTCATTGAAGGAACCGGGAAGGAACCGGCCCGTAACCGTTGGCTGTCAAGCGAACGGGAGCTTTGACCGCTCGAGAAATCCCGTCTGCAGTGCCGTCGCTTAAATTTTCCTCAAAACACCGTCACCCTCACCAATGTTCTCCCAGTCCCCGCAGATATAAATCACACCACGCCGATTACCACAGCGAATAGCCAAATGTACCAATCGAGCTTCCAAGGCCACCACGACAGGGAACCCGGAACCCCCTCCGTTACGCGAACGAGCTTGATGTAACTGGCCCAGCACCGCAGATGCGCTCCTTTGCCGAGACTGTCTGCTACCTCACTGCAGCACGAGGTGACAATGGTTGTGACCCCAAAACGCTTCTAGACCTAAACCGCCTCTTCAGAAACCGGAATAACAGTCAACTGGACAGTCAACTTTGCAATATCTTCTGTCACCAAGTTTTCCACCTCAAGAGCCCCGAAGCTCATCGGGGTGGATTCCAACACCCGTATCGTGGACTGAGGGGCAGTCTGACCAGCAATGGTTTCGATAGTTGTCACCCGGAGAGCTTCCTCGGATCGAAGTAACTCAACCATGAAACCCTAAACAAGCAAGTCAGCCAAGACCACACGAGCATGTGAAGAGTAAACTCGGTACTCACTCCGTACATGTGTGGTATTGGGATCCACAACCTTGGGTCTTCCATTTCTGTCAAACACGACAGCTGTGGTATCCTGAAGCGAGAAGGGTCGACCTGTCTCTGGGGGTCAGTGCTATGTAACATCCGACGAACCGTGTTTCGGGGACCTTACAAGAGAACCAGCAGTATCCTTCATCAATCTGTGGAGCTGCTCTTCCAGGTGAGCGAGCCTTCTCTCCTCCACATGATGCAGAATCTCCGGCTTGAATGCCTCCGCCAGCTCTTGGTTATATGAAGTCTCCCGTGCCGTCTTCGCTCTTTCTTCAAAGGACTTCAAGGTCTCTGTATATCAGCGCAGTCAGCTAATGTTTGAAACAACGTCGTGGAATAATAGGTCAACATACTCCACACACGAGGATCTGCTTGAGCTCCTTCGACGAGCTCTTCCCACGCTCGGTGCTCCTCAGAGTACTTGTCTTCGGGCGGCCTGCTACTAGCAATTATGTGCAGTGCTGAAAGACCATCGCCCTCGGCATCCAACGGCCCAGTGTTGTACCAGTCACATTGTCGCCAGCTGTACTCTTTATTGAGTGTCTTCAGAGCCCCAACCCAGTCCTTCTTCGTTAGCGCTTGATGCCACTGCTTGCGCCGCAGAGCATACTAACTTGGATAGCTGCTAACCAATCTTCCACCCAGCCATACCGCCACATCTTCCTTCTCGAGGCCAAGCGCACCGGCAGATGCTTCGTCGAATTCTTCCAAGTCGAGTTCCTGCATGTCACGAATCTCGTTCAACATTTTGTCTGCCAACATCTTGTATCCCTGCACGTCTGCAGGAGAGAACTCTGCCGCCAGCTCTGCACATGCCCGATACTTGGATGCATCAACAAGCCGCCGGAAGATCTCGCGCTGGACTCTCTTCTCGTCAACGTTTGAGGAAGACTCAGTCGAGTGATCGCGATTGGAGTTCATAGTGACAACAATGACTTGAACAACGGGCACGCCGTCCCCTCCGCTTTGCTTGGTGGTGACAGACAATAACTGGAAGAAGGCACCCCTGAGCAAAATTTCCCTTTCACCCTCCGGCGAAATATTGGCCACCGGCATGGCACAGATGGAAGTGACCACGCTGTCCGGGTATCGCTTCCGATATGCCCAAAGCAGGCCTTCATCGATGCCCCTCGTATGGACCTGAAGGTGCATATGCACTAACCGCTCGTTCCCCGGTGACTTCTTCGTAGCGAAGTCTTCCATGACCCTAGGATCGGCACTGGTCGACGTCAAGGCCAAAGGGATAGCAAAGCTGCGCATCGTCAAGTCAGGGTTCCGCATGATGTCTTCATAGAAGCGGACAGTTTCCTGGTAGACGGGCATTCCGCGGTGCGTGAGACCCTCAAAATTACCATACCGCGGATCGCCAAGTTGAGACAGTCGGAGGTTATACAGGTCAATCGTCAGGAATTCCGTACGGAGGGTGTCGCTGACCAGCTTGAACAGGTAGTCGTATCCCGGAATAGAACAGTACATCTCCAAGGCATCGTACTGCTCGCTGCTGCGGGTAGCGTGCGCATTGGAAGGGCGACTGATCGAAACGTCTGCGTAGTCGCGGTAACCACTCAGCAGCCGTTCAAGTGGTTCGCGCACCTCTTCCGGGAGCCTTTCAGGCTTGCACCATCTCCGTACGGCCTCCACGAGTTGCGCATATGTGTCATTATCCAACCAAGCATTCCGCACCTCTTGAATCTTACTCCGAAGTCGGGACATGCGTTCACGCTCAACCTGGCCGGAAAAACCGGACTTGAGTGTCTGGAGGTTCACGGCATCGAGTGGTGCCGAGAATCTCGCCCTGGCTGCCGAGGTGGGTTTGAAACGAGGCATGGTGGCGTTTGTAAGCTGTGTCCCTGGTTTCGGTGAGTGTTCTCAAGAAGTTTCTTGGCTGAATGGCTTAGCTGAGTTCGTATGTCACACTTGTCGGTCCAAGTTAGAAGTATGGGCACTTGCAAGTTCGAACGAGCTGTCGCCGTTCTGAAACAGCATAGCCGTACATTCGTCTCGTGAGCTTCTATTTGGATAGAAGTGATGTCGTGGGTAGAGTGGAAAGAGGGAGGCCGCCCACCTAAAAGAAGGCTCCCCCATCATGCAATACCAATGACTGCTGTGATGATTGGGAAGACGGATGGCCCAACTTGGGTATTCATTGCGCAGAAAGCCTCGCAACTGAGTCACTCTCCAACCCATATCCTCAAGCCAAGCCTGGGCTGAGGTCTGGAGGGTGTCACAAAACCGCTTGAGCATTGAATGTGGCGCACGGTCTACTTGTATAGGCGGTATCGCCCAATGATCATATCCATCACGTCCGACACTCCGCATGGGAAGGCAGACAGAAGCAGCCACAACGTTGAATCTCCAGGTACCAAGATGGGACAGCCTCGGCCACCACGAACCGCAAGCGGCCAGCCTGTTTATCCTGAACGCCAGTCATCCACGATATCAACCACACAACTCTATTATGGGCAGGTGAGAACAAAAAGGCCCCACATCCACGATCCAGAACTCAGGAAGAACGGAAGTCTTTGCCATTTTCAGCCTATATTCCCTTCCTTGCATGAGCTTGCACATTAACCAAAGAGCCACATCGATTACCTAGACACCAAAGTGGTCAACGGCTGACCACAAGGCAACATCATGGCCGAAGTACTTACTGGCATTGCCGTCGCAACCGAGTCCCTCACCCTCTGCATCAAGGCCGTCGTTGTCCTGAAAAGATTCTATGTGACGGTCAAAGAGGCAAGAGAGGATCTCAACAAGATCCTCAATCTGGTCGGACGAACAAGAAATCGCATCGAACTAATGAAGATGACGCTCATCGAGCTTCGGAAGTCAACTGACTCCGGTATTGCTGCAAGTTTTATCACTGCCTGTGATGGACTCAACCGAACTCTGGAAGAGCTGGTCCAAGAGGCATCGACCATTGCCAACGGTCAATCTCGGTTTGGTATTGCGAGACGGTTGTGATGGTCGATGAGCCACTCAAGAGTTGAGGAGCTTGTTCGCAAGCTGGCGGAACAGGAGAAGGAGGTTACCAACTCGTATATGATGCTCAACTCGTAAGTCAGAGTCTTGTCTGTCATGAGGGAATCTCGTCGCTAACAACAAATAACAGGTTGACTTTTCTTCGAACCCAACAAGAGTTGCAGAAGCTCACAAGGTCATCTGACGAACGGTCTGAGATCACAATCGCCTTTTGCCAGGGATCGGAGGAGCGCCTCTCCGACGTCTCTACGTTACGGAACAGCTCAGAAGAGCCCGCAAGTAGGGTTCGGACCTGGCTTGGGCATACCATCACCGACCACCACTCTCCGGAATATCTCCAGTTACGGAACGAGCTATCCGAAGCCGTGTACTGGGGTGACTGGGAAGTCGTCTTCAACAAGCTCGAGGAGGGGTTCCGGGCGTTTGGTGAGTTCTGGGGCAATGCGCCACGCATGAGTAAGTGGATCATAATTTGGACAAAGAGGAGTGCGAAACAAGAGGCTGATACGTACGGCAAACACAGAAGATCGAGCGCAGTACCACAACCTCTCAATGTGGACTCCTCTCCACCAAGCAGTATATCATCATGCGCCAGTTCATGTCGTTGAGAGATTACTGGAATATGGAGCTTTCAGTAAGTCGCCCACATAGTCCTATGACGGAGGTCCGCTCAGAGCAATTTTTGACAGACGAACAGAAACCCTCCGAACGAGGACCTCCGAGTTCGGCTACCCCAACTTGACCCCCCTCGAACTTGCTCACGAGATGGCAGTCTTTCACCTCTATGACATTCTCAGCCCGGTAGTAAAGCGTCCTTTGCCAGCAGACACTCTGCAGAGAATCGAGTACAATTTCCATCGCCTGATTCGCAGTGAGGCAGGGCAGCGTGTTGATGCAGAAAAGCTCAATCTCCCTGTCCTCGAGGCCCTTACGGAGCTCGATGGAGAAACTGTGTGGTTCCCGATCAAGTTCGGATACCCCGGTGCTGTACGTTATTACCCTCTCCAAAGGTGTTGTGACCGACACTAACAAAGGTAACCGATTCAGGGATACTTTCTCCAGCTATTGGGTAGAGAGCTTCAGGTCAAATCCGTAAACATCCAGGGCAAGGCTTCCGAGGTCCTCTATCGCGTTATGGAAGACGACATTTACGAGACTGACCAGATCTTCAACTTTGCCGGAGACCTCAAGCAGGAGAAAGACATTACTGAAGAAGATACCGCAGGATCCCTGCCCTTCAAGCTGGAGCTTTGATGTTTTCAGCGCACGATGAACGAAAGATGAACAGGCAAGGCTTGTTCTTTCGGCTTTCGCTCCACAATGCGACAGTTCGAGCATCCTTGGTTGCCCCCGTTGGCCGGCGGCCCATATCAACGACCCTTCGCATCGTCAACAGACATGTCATGGGGTTCGCGACATGAATCCCGCCACAAAGGCACCGAAAAGCACTGGGCTAACAGAGACAAGCTGTGAAACGCACCCGGCCCATAAGAGTTGCCGGAGTACAATGTGCTGAGAGACTTGGTCCCCATCCCGAGATTGGCATCGGAAAGGGAAGATGTAAAACCCATTCACATTTCCAATTTCCATGAACCACACAGTTGTAAAAAACCACAAGGCACTGAAGGTTGACTCAGAGTGACGACAAGCCAGATCCCACAGCTCGCCAACGTACTCCTCGATGGTATCCGGGCTTCCATCAAGTGCGTACGAGAAGCGAGGCGGTTGTACACCCCTAAACTCGAGAGCCGACCGGTCAATCTCGCTGGGAGAGTAACCAAAAATGGCATAGACGTGTTCCACCGCATCCCGGTAGCCTACGTATCCCGTATTGGCATATCCTATAGCTTCCACCTTGTCGCTTGTCGACTGCATCGCCGCACCGCTTCTTGTCATCAATCTCAAGGTACCGAGCTTCGACCTCGTTTCAGGAGACAGTTGCCCCTGCGCCATGAAAACGATGTACTCAGCATGACACAGGGCAAACATCAAGTCGCGGCCAATAAGATGAGTCCCGGGAGCTCGAAGACACTCGATCTTCCGGCTCGTTTTATCGTTATCGTTCACCTTTTCATTCGAATGTCCGGTCGTCGTCGTCGTCGGAGCAGCATAAATCCATCGCGCCAACCTCTCCACATGCTCCGTCGCCAACCCATCAACGCTCACCCGCTTATAAAACTGCGCCAACGTCTCCCGCAACCGTTCTAGAGGCTCGCTTCGTGCCCACCGGTTCGATCGCATCCGCTGGAACAGCGCCATAATCTCCCCGTCTGCCGCGCGATGTTCATCTGGTATCTTGGGCGACCATACCGCGTCAAACCCGCGGTTTTCTGAGTTCGAGTCTAAATCTGGAAGCACGTAGACTGTGCCCTCGTGGTGGGTGGTCGGGAGGATGATGCGGAGTGCATCGGGACCGTGGCGATGGGGCGCGTGGTGGGCGTAAGGGTTGCGGAGAACTGTGTCGGAGAGGAAGAGGAAGAGGCCTGCTAGGGAGAGGATGCCGTGGAGCATGTCTCCCTGGTTGGCAGCAGATGTGGCAAGTAAAGCGAACGCTGGGACCCCGACCATGAGGATCACGAGGGACTTGAATGCGTATAAAAGCATCGGGTGCCCCTGCAGCGCTGAAGTCCAGTCGTAAAGTCCCCGGAGGCGAGAGCCGGACCAGAGGCGCGGGCCTGCGGCGGATAGGAGGTACCAAAGTAGCAGGACGAGGGAAGGGAGGATGGGAGCATGAGAGAGGGTTGCTAAGGCTTCGAGGATTGACGGCGCGTTAGCGACGACTTCGAGTATGACGGCGATCAACCAGAATGCCGTGGTGAGCGTTATGATGGCGGCAACGCGGCGGTCGGTGCTGGTTGGCCATAGCCGTAGGCCGAAGATACCTCGACGTGGGCGTTCATGGCGGAGGAGGAATCCGCGATCGAGGAGGATGCGGTGAAGGAGAAGCCAGGATACTATGGCGCTTAGACGGCATATTTCCACTTCCTGGAGGGGTGTTGTAGGAGGAGGAGTTGGTTAGCTTTGCTACTAGGAAGAGGGGAAGGGAACCGACACTAGCTGGAGACTGGGGTATGGGGACTAAGGAGGAAGCAGAACGAACGAACTACGACGGAGGCGGTTCGGAAGAGGGACCGCAGTCGAGGTTGAGCTTCGTTTGGATCCATCGGCTTATGTGTATAGTCTCTCTCTATATGTGACATGTTGTTCTCGTCGAGTGTCTCGAGCGTGCAAGCGGGATCGGTGCGTTGCAAGAGGAATGCCTATGGCGGTAGAGGTATCTCAGCAATGACCACGTCCGCTCGTCCAGGTCCTTGGCTTCACGGCCTACCTGGCTGACCAGATATTCTGCGGTTATAATACGTGTTGTTTCCACTTCATAGTAGGATGAGTTGAAGTCCCTTTATTCGAGACTTTCGGTGATTTCGTTAACCACTGCGCAAGGGCAGTTGAAGATTGCAAAGTCGAACGACGTGCTCACCCGCCCCCCGCACTTCCTGCCCGATCCTGATACTTCCACTTGCAAGGAAGCAACTACTGCAGTCCTGTCATGCAGCGCGCCTATCTGCAGTCCCAATTGGAGGAGTCAAACGAGGTGTGTACGGTACTTACCTACACAATTTCTGTCTATCCCGTCAGGACAAGGCAAAGCCGTTGGCTGATAATGTGGTTTGAATTAAAGATGGAGAAGGGTACACAATGATACACTACTTACCGAATCGCTATTTGGTTCACGGTTTTAGCTCCAACTCCCGAAGCACACTCGGATCATCCCGTCTCAGACAGATACCTGGTACTTGAATTGGGATAATACCGGAATAAGTATTGTGATAATTGACGCTCGTTAAGGTAGTAGCCAAAGAAGGGTAGATGGGGACGCTCGCTGTGGTTGAAGGTGCTATATGACCTCCAACTGAACTCTTGCGGCCCAACAGGTATGTCCCTCTCCACTATCACTCTTCGTCCAGGAGAGGAACAGAATGAAAAAAAAAAAAAAAAAAAAAAAAACAGACAAAAAAAAACAGACAAAAAAAAACAGACAAAAAAAACAGACAAAAAAAACCAGACAAAAAAAAAAACTATACAGAACGCTTTGGCAGTTTGTCACTGGAACGACAACCGTTATTTTCCACCGTCTCCCTGCTCTTTTCCTTGTCCATGGCCTCCCGAAATCTCCTGAGAAAGGGGCAGTGCTTCGCTTCCCAGCGTCGGGTGGTACCGGCGCCGGCGCCCAAGGCTAGGGGGACCAGGGCAATGACGATGCCTTCCATGATCGGGCGGGTTAAACCGAGGAGCGATGGCGACTTTGAACTTTTGGCTGAATGATTGCTCTCCGTGGAGAGAGTCGTCCCAACTTGCCGCCAAACTCGTTCGTCTTCCTCACCGTAAACAAACCCCGACTTCCTCACCATCCTCGCAGTCCACATCCACACCATCCTCGTCCTCCACGCCCTCGCAACAATCGCCCCATAGTCCTCCACCACCATAGTCACCCTCGGCATGCTCACCACAACCGCCCTACGATTGGGATGCTTCACCCGACTCATAATCATCTAAATCATCCTCTCCGATATAGGTCTCTTCCACGTCCTCCGAATACCCATCGTGCTCTTCCTCCGGCGGCTGACTAATCTCCGTGACCACCGCCTCCCCGAATCTCGGTCACAAGGACGTTGCACTTCGGACAGCGACCTCTCACAGGGAAGCCCGACTCGAGGAGGTCGTCGCGTGAGGGATGCCCGCTGATGCCCGTCTCGGCGATATACAGGCAGCCGCAGTTGGCTGCCACGCTGCGGAGGAACATGACGGGTTGAGTGCTCCGGGATGCGGCAAGGGGCTAGGGAGGGGGTTGTTTGGATGTTAGCCTTTTTTCTTCGTTTCTTGTGCAATGAGATGGGGGGGATAATAAAAGGATTGATCGCGTGTAGAACAACAAAACCAGCCAGCCATCTTGCTTCTGCCTTTTTCCGGGCGGGCCAGGGCTGTCTGATCCTTGCCATACAAAATGATGGCTTATCGATGCCTTACTTAGCATAATTGCATCTCTTGCCATCTCCGTTGGAGTCGAATTTCTCGTCATAGGCCATCATCTGGTGCCTCCGGTCCATCTAACACGGCAGCAAAATGCCTAGCAAGCACAAAGTTTGGAGGCTATTCTGCTGGCAGAGCAAGGAGGAAAAAAGAAAAAGAAAAAGAAAAAGAAAAAGAAAAAGAAAAGAGAAAAGAGAAAAGAGAAAAGAGAAAAGAGAAAAGAGAAAAGAGAAAAGAGAAAAGAGAAAAGAACCTGACTGACCTGGTCTGAGGAATCCGTGGAGGTGCCGCTGTTAGGCGCTACCGTTGACCGAGATGAGGAGGTCCCTTGGGTGGTGTGGGTGGTTTGTGTGTCTTCATTCGACGACACCGTTGACGAACATTCACCCGCTGACCTGGGGCGGTTGTTCTGGTCGGATGTTTTGGGTGCCGGCAGGCCCGTCTTGAGGGTATCTGCGTAGGACAACGGGGACTTGCCGTTTTCCGTGGGCATCGTGACGGTATGCTCGGCGTGCGATCCGGATTTGTCGTTCTCCTTCGGAATTTGTGGTTGGTGGTCTGCTAACAATCCCTTTTTGACGATCTCAGCATAAGATAAAGTTGAGTAGATCGGGGTAACGCGCCGCACTCGGGGTGGATGGTTCTCGTTTGACATGTTGACTGAGCAATATTGTTGTTCTTTGAGGATGCTGTTGTCTTTCGATAGTTGGAATAAACTTACTTTTTGTTCTGTGCCTTGATGTTGTCGTGCTCTTTGGTCCGACTTTATGGCCGAACTTTCCTGATGTGACGGGGTGTGGTCTTTCTCTCTTTGCCGGTTTGAATGTAAATGATCAAGTGCGCAAGGGAAAGAAAAGAAGGGGGACTTTATCAGTCCCATCCTGAACATTTAAGGACACGTTCGTTCTTTCACCATTGTGGCCGCTCATGCAACACCGCCGGATGCCCGGTGTTTATGCACGACGTTTTTTGGAGTCCGACATTTTGATCATGATATCGGGCATCCGACGGGAATGTTTATATGCGGAAGTCGGGCTGATAGTGAATGTGTCGGACAATCGCGAAATTGATGCTGTCGCTCTCATACCGTAGTCACTCCCGAACGTGGGATTCGGAGAGGCAAGATGTAAGGCGCAGACATGTACACCGGAAACCACATACAACGGAATATATGCCGGTTTGGATGCAAAGACGGTGCATCTCCGCTCGCCACGCTCCTCCGAGATCTCTCCGTAGCTGGGAAATTCACTGTTATAAATATTCACAGCTTGGATCTGCAAGAGAGGACAGGATGTGGTGCGGAGGAATTTATTTAGCTGCCGACCGTTCGGACGAGGAACACGTTCTCGGATGCCAAAACTGTTCGGCTGGATGACGACTTGATGCTTTTCGACGGCCATGAAGCTCGAACCCTGCCGGAGGAAACATTTGAGACGAACCACATGGCGGGCCTGAAGGCTGGACTGTCGTTGAAAGTTGAGAATGGCTGATTGTAAATAAATGGTTGTAGTGATCAAGAAACCAGGAATGATTTGTTTAACACCGGATTATTTTCCTTCCATCTTTTCGTCTTTCATTGCTCCGAAGACTCCCGCAGACTGAAGCACCTGGATTGAAGTCGGCAAGTCTATTTCCGCGAAGAATAATTCACGACAGTTTGTTTCAAAATGTTGCGTGTAACGTCATATCGCCGCGACTTGTCGAATTTGCCGTCTTGAGAACCAGAAACAATGGCACATATTGTCGAGTCGACTTGGTGATACTTGTGCATCTCTTTCGTTGTTTGGTTTCCCAAAGTTTGGGTCGTCGTCATCTGTGGATCCACTGTGAGGCCTCTCAGCCACTTGAACGACTGGATCCGTTCTGCGGAGACAGTGGCGCAGCGCCAAGCCTTGGACCCCTGGCTAGCCCAGTGTCTCTCAGCTCTATGACATGCCATGCTTCATGATCGCCAGTCGTCACAGCACGAGGACTCAACCCTACAAGGTCCCAAAAAAGGTCAAACCAGGGCATCGAATCAGTCCCCCAGTCAGGTCCCAGTGGCCAGGGCACCAAGGTACGGACGATGTGACTGAACTGATTCCTTGCCTCACCGTGACCACAGGCAACCACTCTTTTCAAGCAGACCACCTTAACTACTTGAACCGGACACTGCCGGACCAGCAAAACGAGGCGCAATTCGCATCGCCAAACAGTCACAGAAAACTCCAATCAACCGACAAACCCCACCCATCAGAGCATTCAGCCCCTCTCCTGACATCCCCTTTCGTCCACTTAATCCCAGAATCCCAAGTCCAGCAATCCATTCCAGGTGCGCCAAGCCGGCTGCCGAGACGCATTGAGATCCATCTCCATCGAATCCTATCCGTCCCATTGGGTCCGGTCGCTTCTGTAATCCTAGAAATCCAAAAGGGCTGTGCCGTATGCCATCATCAACAGCCCCGAGTAATAGATCCGTTTGGAAGCCCGCCGCTTTGTTCCTTATAAGTCTCGTCGTCCTCCTCTTCTTTGGCCGTCAACCTCCTCCTCCGCCTTGGAGTACAGCAACAGCCATAACCACAGCTACAGTCACCGTTGCGGAATCAGTCACGACCACCATCACTTCTGTTGACGAAGGACCAGCACCATCCTCCGTCACTTCAACCACTCCAGCCACAACAGAAACAAGCACCACTACCGAACAACAACAACCAACATCCACATCAACAACCATGGGAGGCGGTCCAGATTCCACCGGCTACCGCACCGTAGCCTACTTCGTCAACTGGGCCATCTACGGCCGCAAGCACCGGCCGCAAGACCTGCCCGTCGAGAAGCTGACGCACATTCTCTACGCCTTCGCCAACGTGCGTCCAGATTCGGGCGAGGTCTACCTGACCGACCAGTGGGCGGACACGGACATCCACTGGGAAGGAGACAGCTGGAACGACTCCGGGACGAACCTGTACGGGTGCCTGAAGCAGCTGAACCTGCTCAAGCGGCGCAACCGCAACCTCAAGGTGCTGCTGTCGATTGGCGGGTGGACGTATAGCAGCAATTTCAGGGAGCCGGCGAGTAAAGAAGAGGGGAGGAGGAGGTTTGCTGAGAGTGCTGTTGAGCTTGTACGTTTGGTTTCACTCTTGTCTATCTCTCATCTATCTTCATTACCTGTTCACCCATTCATTCCATGTTTCTTCGCCAGGGATAGCTTCACTAACACTCTTACGCAAAATAGGTCAAACACCTCGGCTTCGACGGCCTCGACATCGACTGGGAATACCCCCAAAACGCCCAAGAAGCAGCCGACTTCGTCTCCCTGCTCGCCGCCTGCCGCTCCGCCCTCGACGTCTACGCCTCCACCGTGCCGGGCAACCCGCACTTCGAGATGAGCGTCGCCTGCCCCGCCGGCCCGCACAACTACGAGAAGATGGACTTGCCGGAAATGGACCGGTACCTAGACTTCTGGAACCTAATGGCGTACGACTACGCCGGCTCGTGGGACAGTGTATCCGGCCACCAGGCGAACCTGTTCCACTGCAACAGCAACCCGGCTGCCACGCCCTTCAGCACCCAGCGCGCTGTCGAGTACTACCTGTCGACGGGCGTGGCGGCCGACAAGATTGTCCTTGGCATGCCGCTGTACGGGCGCGCGTTCCAGAATACCGAGGGGTTGGGGCAGCCGTATAGTGGTATTGGTGAGGGGACGTGGGAGAGTGGCGTGCATGATTATAAGAAGCTGCCGCTGGAGGGAGCCGAGGAGCGCATTGATTACGAGTCCGGTGCTACGTATTGCTATCATCCGGGGACCAAGACGCTGGTGAGCTACGATACGCCTGGCATGGCGAGGATGAAGGCTGAGTATATCCGGGAGAGAGGCCTCGGTGGTGGCATGTGGTGGGAGAGCAGTGCTGATAAGGAAGGCCCTGATAGCTTGATTGGCACCGTCGTCGAGGGCTTTGGCGGCCTGCAGGCGTTGCGTTGGGATCAGAACTGCATCGACTACCCGAACACCAAGTATGACAACTTGCGGGCAGGATTTCCGGGAAATTAGGTCGTAGTCGTGGATGTCGATGTGTCGGATGGTGAATGCCGTCGGGATATGTAGTAGTGCCAGAGTAAATAAACATATTCACAATCACAGTCAGCAGCGGATTTCAAGAGACAAAGATTCGGTCAAGTCGGTCATGCCATTCCCATTTTTGCTTTCCCTCGCCAGTCAAAGGTACCCTGATGTCCGCTCAAAACGCCATACATGAAGTCCCAATCGTAGCGAGATGTGGTATTGTCATTCCCCGTCCCGGATCATGCCCCTAAGCTTTCCAGCAATTTAAGAGCTCTTCTCGAAGACGTAGGTGAGGTGGCAGCGACCGCAGTACTGACGATCCTGCATGGCAGCCATGAAGACACCGGCACCGCACTGTAGAAATTGGGTTAGCGAATGATGGGCTTTGGTGAATAAACAGGGCAACTCACGGTCTCGTTGGGGCACTCGCGGCGAAGACGCTCGATCTTGCCATCGGAGTCGACCTTGTAGTACTTGAGCACAGCGAGTTTGGTCTTCTTGCGCTTGTGCTTGATCTTCTTGGGGGTGGTGTAGACCTTCTTTTTTCTCTTCTTGGCACCACCACGGAGGCGAAGCACCAAGTGGAGGGTGCTCTCCTTCTGGATGTTGTAGTCGGAGAGGGTGCGGCCATCCTCGAGCTGCTTGCCGGCGAAGATCAGGCGCTGCTGGTCAGGGGGAATGCCCTCCTTGTCCTGGATCTTCTGCTTGACATTGTCGATGGTGTCGCTCGACTCCACCTCAAGGGTGATAGTCTTGCCCGTGAGGGTCTTCACGAAGATCTGCATGATTGCCTACTGAGAAGTGGTAGGGAAGTGTTAGAGAGACAGAGACACAGCAGAGGAGAGGTTGCGATTCCTGCGATTCCTCATGATGCTGCGCCCGGCTAAAACGCGCAAAGGATGTTTGACTGGGGATGGGGTGTGGGAAGCGCCGAAGCGTGGAAATATCGTTATCTTCCCTTCCTCCCGCCCGCGGGAGAAATCCCCAGCAAAGCGATCATGGAAAATATCGACTTGTGTGAATGACAAGAACGAGGGGGGTATCATAAAAGATGGGTGTAGAAGCCGAGCACAGCACCACGATTCATCACAGCATCGTGCAGACGTACCTAGACACGGGTGTCTTCCTCAGCAATCTGTAGATTCGGTGTGAAGGTGCTTGACGAGAAGAAAAAGAAGTCGGGATTTGAAGGCGGCCGCGAAAGGCGGATTTCTTTTGTCAACCGTGCCCCACACAAAAGCGGAGTCAGCTGACTTGGGCGGGCGGCTCGCACACAGCAGGAACCTTAGGGTTTCTGGGAGCGGTAGCCCTGGGGCCAAGCTGCAATTCACCTGGCCCCAGCGCCTGCAGTGTGGGTTTGAAGCCCTCTGGCACTGGCAACACTTGCAGCACAAGCACCCACTTGTGCGGGTGCACAGACCACCAGTACCAAATTGTGGGCCCCACACAACGCTTGGCACCCACGCTCCGCCCGTCGTACTTTTGCACGTCTTGCCTTTTGTCGAATTCTTGAAATTCCTCCTCCCGTCCTTCCAATCGACAGCAACATCTTGAGAACCGTATCACTCAAGACACCGCCAAGATGGTCAAGAAGAGAAAGAACAACGGCCGCAACAAGAAGGGCCGCGGCCACGTCAAGCCCATCCGCTGCTCCAACTGCTCGCGATGCACTCCCAAGGACAAGGCCATCAAGCGCTTCACCATCCGCAACATGGTTGAGTCCGCTGCCATCCGTACGTCGACGACACCACCGGTTTGATGAACAACGATTGCTGACCATGTCTTCTCCCCCGCAGGTGATATCTCGGATGCCTCGGTGTTCGCTGAGTACACGGTTCCCAAGATGTACCTCAAGCTGCAGTACTGCGTCTCTTGCGCCATTCACGGCAAGATTGTCCGGTACGTTTGTCCGCCAGGCGGGGACAGCCACGTTCGCTTCCAAAGCGACGTGGGCGGCTGAGATGAACCTTGGTCGAACCTCTGCTCCCGCCAAAACTCTACAAAGTATCCCCCGTCCGTCCCACTGACATGATGACTATAGTGTCCGTTCCCGCGAGGGCCGCCGCAACCGCGCTCCTCCCCCGCGTGTCCGCTACAACAAGGACGGCAAGAAGGTCACCCCTACCCAGGGTGCTAAGACCGCCTAAATCAGGCGACCTTGACAGCGACTTCCTTGCGAAACACCAGCTTCGGGGTTAACAGGCGTTTTCTGCATTGGTCGGCATTTCGATTTTCTGGGGGGTATATGGATTGAACACAAGGCCGAAAGGCAAATGATATCATGACATGGCGCTTTTTTTGCATAGGAGCAAAGGAGCTGGCAACCACCGGATACACAAACGGAATCGGAATGGCATGGGTTCCTTCGATCAGCAAAGGGATACCAGGCCAATAGTCTACCAATAATGAGCACCTGTTGATGAACAACCTCCTTGTCCCTGTGCCTCCCGCTTGCTGTCTGCCTCTGATGTTGGAGAATCGCGTTTTACTGCTTCTAGGGTCTTTCTCGTCAACCGACATATCTGATTGCTCGCCCTTTCCAGTCAACCTCTTTTTTTGACCTCGACACTTGTTCAACATCACGGCCGTGTTCCGTTCCTTGGCCTCTCGACTTTGCCGCTTTGCAACTCGATCTCACCAATCCGTTCACGACACACCGACAGCAGCCGCATGCCGATATGGTTGAATCGCCCCGGGCAGAGAACCGTCGAGTGATGCCCGAGGACGTGGGCGCAAAGACGGACGTGATTGTGCTCGGCTCCTTCCCGTGCCGTTCTGCATAAGGTTTAAATGGGAAGCTTGGGGCAGCAACCACTGGGGAGTTTATCTTCAAGCTCAAAGGCGTCCGGTTATTGGGCACTTCGGGCAGCCTCGGATCTTTTGGACCGTCAAGGTGACTCTCCTAGCTGCTCAGATCTCGCTGCGAACATTGTGGCGAGCAGGCTATCCATGCCACGGAAGGGTAATGGCCGTGATGATGCCGGGTCAACAATCGAGGAAGTGGGCGATTAAAACGCGAACGGTGCTACGGACGGAAAGCTCTCCATGGCCACATTACTTATACTTATGGGGACAGTTCACGTTGACAGCGAAGCAACAGGTCGTACCTTTTATTCCAATTGTTGGTATTGACCTCTCATCATGTTGAGAGCTGATAGAAACAAGTGGCCGGGTGCAAAAGGGGAATCCCACGGCTTCGAACACAAGACGAAGTACACGCCCTAGAAACTCCCAGGATATATAGGCTAGGAGAGGAGTTCTCTAAACAACGGGCAATAACTGCATACTCTGCTTACCTACGTAGTATATCGGTAAGCCTGAAATAGGGAAATGCTCATCAACAACGTTGTGATCTTCACCGTAGATACCTTATGCCCAGCATCACGGCGGTGCTCATCTGGACAAGCAACGTCTCTCCCCGCAGTGGAACGTTCAAGTCAACACCTCACCAGTCCAAACATCGAACCACCGTGGGATGCCTGGGGAAAAGTTGAGTGACAGTCCTTTAGTTCAGCTGGATCTGGCTGGATGATGTTGGTGTTGTTGCTAGAGCTTTGCGTTGTCGAGCTGGTATTTGTACGCTCCTGGCTCCTGGTTCAAATGGTCGCGATGTCGACGCTTGCTCTCGAGTCTTGACAGTTGCTGTGAACTTGTACTTGAGATGCACAAGACCACCGCTGCAACGATGATTGGAAACTCCAGAATAAGGTCCATAATCATGGTGTTGGTTGATGTCGTTCAATAGAAATTGTTCGGTGTAACGCTTGATTCATCGAGATAGCAAGAGCATTCTATAATACGAGTAGAGAGATAGAAGAATGAGAATAAGGAAAGTTAAGACATCGGTTTTTCTATATGATCACACGTCTGACACAACGGGAGTAGGTATTCTCGTTATTTTGTCTAGCTAGAATCCGGTGATGATGTTTGTAGCGAAGGTTGAGAATTATGGTTTGAGCTATGCTCCGAACTCTGATCCGAAATGATTAGGAAAAAACACCTTCTTATGAGGTCACAAGTCTCAATGGTGATATTGAATTCAGAAATACAACCTCCTGAGTAGATGGTGTAAAAACTCGAGAAAGTCGGATTCCAGGTCTCTAAAATATATTCCCCAACTCCGCTTCATACTTGATCCTTCAGGTAGAGTTAACGCAACTGACGAGACAACTCTGTTAGGAAGCCCGAAGCTGAGAATCACGCTGCTCTATCTGCTTGAGCTTCAAAAGTATGTGGCCGACTTAGGGAATCATCTGCAGACTAAGGTGGTGTATGTCTCGAGTTTCTACGGAAGGTCATGAGAAGCCGACAGTAGCTGACATTTTCGTGTCTGCGAGTTTATAGTTTGTGAAATATTCCATATCTCCCCCACAGAGAAAGGCCTGCTTTCCGTGGACGATGCGCCTTAGGTTGATGTTGGTCTTGCAAGCATCTGAAGTCAATTAATGAACGTGAAGCATCTGAAGATGACAGCCTCGACTGATCAATATTCCTACGTCACCTCTCCAGATGTGTGAACATGATGCTGAACCGTTCAACTGTGATTATTGGACTGATTCAGCCTCACAAACGCCCTTGGTGATCAAATAGCGGACAGTGGCTGCCCTGGCAGAAACGTGGCAGGAGCCGCCGCAAGCAACGTCAGTGTTGGGCTTGGATATGAGGCTGTTGGGTAACCATTCGAGGTAGCACAAATATCAAGGCAGGTATGAAGAGGATAGCAAAGAAGAAGGACGTGTACACGACTCGAATTCCTCGATGATTTCCACCAAGAAAGAAAGACACAAGCTTTTTGATTGGTTGTACAGGAAGAAGTCATGTGGGGATAGTTCCCGTCCCTTGCCGCGCGAGGTCTGGTCCCTCTGTCCCTTGCCTGCCGAGCTACCCTGGCGAACCCTAGGTAAGCTGGGCTGCCACGAGGCGGGATGCGGGGCCAGCTATGGAACCCTCCGAGGGGAGCGTCACTCCGATCTGTCACCTCAGTTCGTCCAGGACCAGGTCCCGTCCATTGATCGATCCATTGGGGAGGAGCCAGACAGCCATGGACAACACCCACCAGTTTCCGGCCGCCGGATCGAAGGGATTATCAAGCTTCAGGTTCTACTAACCGGAAGCACCTTCACTGCTTCCTCTTCCTTCCACTTTTCCCGTCGATGCTTTCCCTCGGTCCATCGGGTTGACTGCATTCCATTCCTCTTCCAACAACAGGCGATCCGGCCAACAACCGACCGCCCACCAAGCAGTCAAAGCAAGGGCGCACGTCAACAACCACCGTCCTTCACCAAGATAACCCTCCGTACAACTACAGCTCTACTCACTAATACCCAACTCGACAATCTTCCAGTATCAACTTATCCATTGCTTCAAGAACTGGCTCTTGGCGCGTTTCTTGATTACTCGGATTCTTCTTCCACGCCATGCATCGCCGCCGCCACTAGGTTTACCAATCGCCTTGGATCTTGCATCAATCATCCTTATCGCCCACCCACAGGCAACGTACCTTGCAGAGACGCCGTCACGCCGCCTTGGTGGGCAAGCTGAAGAGAGCAACTGTAGCCGCAACACCACATCATCTTTACTTCACAACCGACGGTGTTGGGTATCTATCTAGCTTTAACCCCAGCTAAGCATGGAAGCCCCATCTTCCTTTTCGACCCCCAAGCGGAAACGCCCTTTACCATTCGAACCGACAATTCCCAACCTCAACCAGACCAGGGCCTTGACTGGCTTGACAGGGGAGTTCACATTCGAACTCGGCTCATCCACAGATGCTGAGGACGGCAGTAAGAGTCCGCGGACCACTGTAGCACACAGGCTACAGCACCTCTTCCTAAATGGCGGGGGCCTCGGCGGTACCTCTACCGGTGGGGTCTTTGGTGGTGGAGGCATTGTGCCTGTGCGAACATCAGTGTCGACGGCGTCGCAACCGTCCCTGTCGCAACCACAGCAACCATCGTCGCAAACTCACCAGCAGTATTTTGGCTACCCCTTCCCACGCGTGTCACGGTCGCGAGACATGCAGGAAGTCGATGAGGACCATGGGCGACCAGACGGGCCCCGTAAACGAGTCAAACTCCCCGATCGAGACGTTGACATGACGGGTGTTGCCGGAACCCCAATGCGGCCTCCCGCTTCGACGAACAATGGCAGGACACCCTTTGAAGCCGCCGGAGCGACTCCAAGTTCTTCAATGCCACCGCCTTCGACTCCCGTAAGTCAACAATCAGGCGCGGTCATTACTCCGGATGGACCATCTCCAAAGCGGCGACTGGCGCCCAAGGGCGTTCAGTTCAATATGGACCCCACCGAAAATCAACATTCCGACAACATGGGCACAACAAGCGGTACAAGGGACACCCAAACACCAAACAACGCTATCCAAATACCCTCTTCCTCGCCCCTCTCGTCCATCACCAAAGCGGTCGGTCACCCCAATTCTACACCAACCCAGAGACCTTTAGCGCCGAAGCCGGCCAACATCAGTATGGCTCCACCGTCATCGTCGTCAGCAGCGGCCGCAACCAAGAAGCCTCGCAAATCGAAATCACCTCCCCTCCAACCTCAACCGGCCGCATCCACCTCGACGTCCTCCCCCAACTCACCTACCATAATCGATCCGCTCCGCGCCAGCCTCACCTGGCAAGATTCCGAAATCACCGTCTACGACCCGGACGACAGCGACGATGACGGTACCGGTATCAACGGCATCGGCTTCAAGCCCACCCCGGAGATGGAACACGCGCGCAGGATGAAGCGCAAGAAGCAGCTGGCCGAGTATCGCAAACGCGAGATGGGCGAGGCTCGCGCCAGGAGGAAAGAGCGAAGAGCGGGTGCTGACGGATTGGTGGGGAGCGGCACTGAGGGTGGTGGAGGTGGTAGTGCTGGACCCAAGGGCAAGGATGCCATTGCGACTGCTAAGGGCAAGCTGAAGGCTGAGAAGAGAAGGGTCAGGTTTTTGGAGACGGTGACGAGGACGGTTGTTGAGATGCCGCCACCGCCACCGGTTACGACGATGGAGGGTGTGACGCAGACTGAGACGGCAGCTGCGGCGGAGGGTCAAGGAGGTTCAGGAGGGGATGATGGAAGTGGTGGTGATACAAGCGTCTCTGGTATGGCTGGCGCTGGCGCTGACCCTGCTGTGGTTGAGGCTTGATGGACGGGCCTTTTTTTTTCTCGCTTATGGCTCTTCTGTTTGTCAGGCAAGCAAGTTATTCGGTTGGGATGAACAACTCATGGCTTACCTTAGTTCATTGGCAAGTTTGGCGTTTGGGTGAGGGATTGGACCGGATACGATAAGGCGCCGTCAATTGCAAATAATTGCCGGCGGAAGGGATTATGGGAAATTTCACTTGAGTATGGAGTACGACTGGTTTGAATGTAGGATACCTGAAGAGAAGGACAGATTCACACATGAGTCTCTACTCTACTTTTTCGCAGAACTGGGGCGCCTCGAGTTTAGAGTACTCTAGAGGCGTGTATTTTCATTGCTTAATATCATTGATTATCATGACTTCGAAGCGTAGAAGCACGCCTTTGTCCCTGGAGAATAAATTTTTACATGCTGAACTCGCTGCCGTGATGCGCCATAACCATGCTTCCATTGTACGTAAATGTCCAAACGCCTCAGAACTTCCCAGATATCGATACACATCATATCCTACATCCAACCTCCTATCCACTAAGTATGCTCCTCGCCCTCCATCCCACCTCACACCACCTCACCAAAACTTATACCAACTTTTCTTCTGCCCAGACACCTCCCCCTCCTTCCCTTGCTGCTGCTCCATCTTCTCCCTCCTCTCCTTCGCCTCCTTAGCCCTACTATCCGCCTGCTTCTTCGTATAAACCGCCACCACCCGCTGCATCTTCTCCTTCTCCTTCCTCCGCTGCCACTGGCAGTACTCGTAGTGCGCCATCGCCCCCACGATCCCGCACCCCACGCCCCAGTTGGCCGCTTTCGGGATCGGAAAGCCCATGATCCACCGCAACGCGCCGATGCCCGCGCCCGAGCCGATGCCTGTCATAAATCCCTGGCGTGCGCAGGGCGTTTCGTGCACCGAGAGGAAGTCGGTCGGAGTGATGGTGGAGACGGCTTCGGTTAGGGAGATGCGGTTGGTGTGCTGGGGCTGTTTTTTGGTGGGTTGGGGTGGTTGTTGGGCGGCGTCTGCTGGTGATTGTCCCTGGGGAGGGGGTGTCTGTTGTGGTTGTTGACCGGTCGGGGGGGTAAGGTCTTGAGAGGGCGCGGAGGGAGCAGGAGAGGAAGGGGAAGAGCCGCCGCTTAGCCAAGAGCGGGCGGCGGCGTCGGGGGTTGTTGTTGGTGTTTGGTCGCGCGACATGGTGTTGCGGTTTGTGATTGGCAATTGGGTTTGAGATATGGTTTTGTCTTTGTCTTTCTCGGAAATGCGCAGGTGTGCTGCGTATGGGTGTGTGTGTGTGTTTATAGGTTGTTGTTCGCTTGTCGTGATGGCGGTGTTTAGAAGCTTGGGTGTTGTCTGGATGGCAATGGCAAAAGGTGGTGAGTTTGAAGTGTTGAAGAAAGTGGAATTGTCCAATGGAGACAAGCTCGTTGAGGTTCTCTCGTCTTCGCTCGGCGGCCGGGCGTGTCGCGGGGGAGCTTTTTTTTCGGTGGGGACCTTGCGGGATTACGGGGAAGATGCAGGTACGCACTGACACGGAGAAGATGGGCGAGCTAACAAATTCGGCTTCCAATTGTCCTCAAAGTTTCCGTTTGGTATCTTTCAACTTGAACCAAAAGTTGCTAGCTCAGATATCGAGCCTTCAAATTCGGAGCCGGCTACACGGGACGAGCTTGATACAATGACGGAGCTTTGACTCGGCAATACAACGGGAGCTGGACGGGACAAGGTCCAAGCTTCTTTCCGATCCGCTTCATGGTTTCGTGCATGGTGGGGCCGTGTCCGGGCCTCTGCCGGCAGCCCACTTCCCCACCGTTCCGACCCCTGTTCAGCGCTTTGACGCCTTGTGTGCCCTGAAACGATCAGCTTGACTGGTGGGGCACGCGTGTGTGTTTAGCGCCTGTCGCGTCAAATTGGACGGTCCAGTCGCGTCTGGCGCGTCTCCCAGTTAAACGACTTTAATGGGTTCCAGTTGAAGTTGAGACTTTCAAACATTGACAGTGCAACGGGTCACTCCGTACCTCTTCAAATCCCGGCCTATTTACATTCTGTCTTCCCTCGCAACTCCAAAGGGACCCTGTACCAGCCATAACTCGAGTTTTGGCTGGCCCTCCATGTCAACTTACTTGTGAAAAGACATACTACTTACTGTTTTTCGTCTCTCCTTCCAATTCCGAATTTTCTTCGACCGAGAGATTCTACCGACCAGGACGGAAAACGAAGGGCAGACGGAAGCACAAGACGAACATCTCGAGGCCTACGCGAGGGCCAATCCGATTCTTCCAATATGCCCAACACTTCTCTACGGCGGCAGCCTCAAAAGGGCTACCGTCGTGGTGGCAAGAACGCCTACCATGGCGGATCCAGGACACGAACGTTCGCCGCCTCGGCCAGCGCCCGCGGCGAGGCTACCTCGATAGACGAAAAGTGGGAAAGGACAGCCCTTGCGAACCAGATCGACGAGAACATGGGCTTCGCCCGATACGATGCCGGAAAGAAGCGCGAAGGCTGGCTGGTCAACGTACAACCAACATCCATCGACGACTCCCGTATCCCCGGCGGTGGCGGCCGCGCGGCACTCGACTGCTACTTTATCGAAGAGGACGGGTCAACATTCAAAGCCACAGTCGAATACGAGCCATACTTCCTGGTCGCATGTCGAAAGGGTCACGAAGGCGAGGTGGAGGAATGGTGCAAGAGAGTGCCCGGTGGCGGCTGCGTCAAGTCCATCCGGAGGGTCGAGAAGGAAGATCTCAAGATGCCCAACCACTTGATGGGCTATCGTCGAACCTTCTTGGAGCTGAGGTTTCATAATGTGCAGGACTTGATGTCCGCCAAGCGCGATGTCATGCCCATTGCTGAAAAGAACAAAAAGGGCATGGATGCAATGGATACATATGCCGAAGTAGCATCGTGGGTACCTCTTCTCATGTGCAGGCTGACCGCCGCTGCTGACACATATAACTCCCAAATAGAGCGAACGGCGGGTTTGATCTTTTTGATGACGATTCACGAAATGACGAGCGACGACATAATGCTGGTTTTGCAGAGGCGAGCGATTTCATTGTTGATATCCGGGAATACGACGTCCCATACCATGTGAGAGTAATGATAGACTTGGGTCAGTTCTCCTTGCACAACCCCAGCGTGTGCTCGACTGACCGTCCACAACAGACATACGAGTTGCTAGATGGTACCATGTCGAGGCCAAGAATGGAGTCACGACAGTAAAAGTAAACGAGGAGCGTTTGGCCATGGCCGACCCAGTCGTAATGGCGTTCGATATCGAGACCACCAAGCTGCCACTCAAGTTTCCCGACGCCGCTATCGACCAAATCATGATGATCTCATACATGATCGATGGCCAGGGTTTCTTGATCACAAATAGAGAGATTATCTCCGAAGACATTGCTGATTTCGACTATACACCAAAACCCGAGTACCAAGGTCCGTTTATGATCTTCAACGAACCGGACGAAAAGGCTCTTCTCGAGAGATTCTTCCTACACATCAAGGAGGCCCGGCCGACCGTCATCGCCACATACAACGGCGACTTCTTCGATTGGCCCTTCGTGGAGGCTCGTGCTAGTATCAATGGTATCGACATGTACCACGAGATCGGCTGGAAGAAGGACAGTGAGGACCAGTACAAGTGCAACTACAGTGTTCACATGGACTGCTTCCACTGGGTAAACCGTGACAGTTACCTGCCCCAGGGTAGTAGAGGTCTCAAGGCCGTCACTGTTGCCAAGCTGGGATACGACCCCGATGAACTCGACCCCGAGCTCATGACACCGTATGCCAGCGAGAGACCGCAGACGCTGGCTGAATACTCCGTCTCCGATGCCGTCGCAACATACTATCTGTACATGAAATATGTGCATCCCTTCATTTTCTCTCTCTGTACCATCTTGCCTCTAGGCCCAGACGATACACTAAGAAAGGGAACGGGTACGCTATGCGAGATGTTGCTAATGGTACAGGCTTACCAAAAGGAGATTGTGTTACCCAATAAACATGTCCAACCTAAAGAGTCATTCTGGGAAGGACACCTGTTGGACTCCGAAACGTACGTTGGTGGTCACGTCGAAAGTATCGAAGCTGGTGTCTTCCGTGCCGATATCCCCGTCAACTTCGCGGTTGATCCGACCGCTGTGGACGAGCTGATTCGGGATCTTGACGCTGCCCTAACATTCAGCATTACTGTTGAAGAGAAGAAAGAGTTGAGCGACATCACCAACTATGACGAGGTCAAGGAGCAGATAATGGCCAGGTTGATGAACCTCAAAGAAACCCCCAATCGACTGGAACGGCCTCTTATCTACCATCTTGATGTTGCCTCCATGTACCCCAACATCATGACAACAAACCGATTACAACCCGATTCCATGATTTCCGAGTCAACTTGTGCAGCATGCGACTTCAACCGCCCAGGAAAGACTTGTGACAGAAGACTGCCATGGGCCTGGAGAGGAGAGTACCTTCCAGCCAAGCGCGACGAGTACAACATGATTCGCCACGCACTCGAGAACGAGAGATTTCCGGGGAAATACCCAAACAGCCCGATGCGGTCGTTCCAAGACCTGAGTGCAGACGAACAAGCCACCCTCATCCGAAAGAGACTGCAACTCTACTCACAAAAGGTGTACCACAAAATTCACGATTCCACCACGATTGTCAGAGAAGCTATCATCTGCCAGCGCGAGAACCCGTTTTATATCGACACAGTCCGTGACTTCCGTGACCGACGATACGACTACAAGGGCAAGGCGAAGGTGTGGAAGGGCAAGACGGATGCCCTCAAGAGCTCGGGCGCATCCGCATCCGAGGTCGATAATGCCAAGAAGATGATTATCTTGTTCGATTCTCTTCAGCTGGCTCACAAGGTCATTCTCAATTCTTTCTACGGATACGTCATGAGAAAGGGATCCAGATGGTACTCGATGGAAATGGCGGGTGTCACCTGTTTGACGGGCGCAACCATTATCCAGTTGGCGAGACAACTGATTGAGCGACTGGGTCGTCCACTCGAGCTAGACACTGATGGTATCTGGTGCATGTTGCCGGCGACATTCCCAGAGAACTTTGTGTTTAAACTCAAGAATGGCAAGAAGATGACTATCTCCTACCCTTGTGTCATGTTGAACCATCTAGTTCACGACAAGTTTACCAACCACCAGTACCAGACCCTGGTCAATCCGAAGACATTCAAGTACGAAACGCACAGCGACAACTCCATTTTCTTCGAAGTTGACGGTCCGTACAAGGCCATGATTCTACCCACCTCGAAGGAAGAAGACAAAAACTTGAAGAAGAGATACGCCGTCTTCAATGACGATGGCAGTCTTGCTGAGCTCAAAGGTTTCGAAGTGAAGCGAAGAGGCGAGTTGAAGCTCATCAAGATCTTCCAGCAGCAGATCTTCAAGTTTTTCTTGGAGGGTACCACCCTGGCGGAATGCTATAATGCTGTCGCCAAGGTTGCTAACCGCTGGCTTGATGTACTCCATAGCAAGGGTGCAACGCTTGCGGACGAAGAACTTATGGAACTGATTTCGGAGAACCGCAGCATGGCCAAGACGTTGGAGGAGTACGGAAGCCAAAAGTCAACATCCATCACCACTGCCAAGCGTCTTGCGGACTTTTTGGGCGAGCAGATGGTCAAAGACAAGGGCTTGAACTGCAAATTTATTATTTGCGCTCGACCCAAGAATGCCCCAGTCACCGAACGAGCCGTGCCTGTTGCCATCTTCTCGGCCGAGGAGGAAACGAAGAGGATGTATCTCAAAAAGTGGCTCAAGGAGGAGCCTGCTGATACCGACCCTCGAGCACTCCTTGACTGGGATTACTATCTCGAACGTCTCGGGTCCGTCATCCAGAAGCTCATTACCATCCCAGCCGCCCTGCAGAAGGTTCGCAACCCGGTACCGCGCGTGCCGCATCCGGACTGGCTGCAGCGGAGAATCAACATCAAGGAGGATAAGATGAAGCAAAAGAAGCTCACCGACTTGTTCGGGCCTACCACCAAAGGCCCCTTGCAAGACATCACCCACCTCGCGAATGGCACCCAGCTAGGAGATATGGAGGATTTTGGGAACTTGCTGAAGCCCAAGACTGTCAGTGATGCCATTTCTGCCACGCAGAAAACGGCATCGGCCCAGAAACGCAAGGATCCGGAGCCAGCAGCAGCCGAGAACCTGGACCCGTTCGCGGCGCTTCCTAAAAAGATGCCGTCGCCTAGCGAGGACTACGCGGCTTTCTTGGAGTACCAGAAGCAAAAGTGGAAGCTCCAGAAGCAGGCAAGAGCTCGTAGGCGACACTTGTTCGGTGAAAGGCGTGGCAATGCGCAGAGCAACATCCAGCAGACGTTCCGCAGTCAGGCCGAGATGACATTCCGAAACACTTGGCAGTTGCTTCAGCTGAGGGCGTCGGACAGTCCAGGCATTGTCATCGCTCATGTGCTTATCGATGCCAAGATCCATACCCTCAAGATTAATGTACCCCGGCAAGTATTCTTGAATCTGAAGAGCAGGGAACTGCCGGATATTGAGGTTGAGGGTTGCCAGGTTGAACAGGTCAACCATACATTGCCTAATGGCCATTCTTCTGTGCATCTTTTCAAGCTTACGGTTCCGGAGGACATCTACTTTGCGGAAGCAGAAAAGTTCTCTCTGTTGTTCAACCATCCCAGCGTGGAAGGCGTGTATGAGAAACAGCTCCCGCTCAATATGCGCGCCCTTCTTCAACTTGGAAATCTTTGCACCATTGACGAAAGCCAACCTGGCGTGCTTGGAAAGGGTCTTGACCAAGGATTCGACCTGTCCGGGTTGAAGAGGTCACTTAAGCCGAGGGAGTACCTTGGCGGGGCCCGTATGGCCTACGTCTATCTCTCCCACATTAGCGCTGGTGAGCGTCAGATCTTTGGTCTTTTCTCCACCACCAGTGACCAAGCCCATGTCATTATCCAGCAGAGGACCAAGGATGGAGGGCAAGACTTGCCAAACATCAACAAGCTCTATGCCGACATGTTGGCAAGGAGAAATCAGGAGGCCGCCGGGGCTGATTGGCAAGAGTGCTTCCCGTATCAGGACAAGCTGAACATCAAGATCACGCAAGTCACCACCCGCCGGAAGGCCTTCCTTGAGGTTGGCGACATTGTCAAGAAACTAAGAAAGGAAGAGTCTGGACCGACTATGGTGGTCATCCAATCTTCACAGCGCAATCTCTTGGTTCATGAGATTCCCATCCTGGGAGAGTTCCCCGTTATGCCGTTAAGGTACGATCAAGGGGACAGCTCGCTGCCCCCATTGGGTTGGCAGAGCGTGGTGGCGCGTCGGTTGGTCAATCACTACCTCAGCCTGGGTTCCTGGATCACACATATGACGGCTCTTGCTCGGTACGGCGACGTGCCGCTGTGCAACCTTGAGCGAGACGACCCCCGCTTTCTGATCGATATTGCATATGCTCGCCGACTCATGGCCAACAATGTCGTGCTCTGGTGGTCACCGAGTCCGCGCCCCGACCACGCTGGATATGAGAAGGACGATGTGGTTGGTCCGCTCGATCAGGTTCAGATGCCTTCTGTCAACAACCCGGGCACTTATGCCTCGGTGTGTATAGATCTCGAGGTGCGAAACCTGGCCATCAACACCATTCTCACTTCTTCGCTCATCAACGAGCTGGAAGGTGCGGATAGTATCTCTTTCAATCCCGCAGCCGATGCGAACGGCAATGGAGACGGCGAAGAATTTCTCTATTCGGAGAACGCCTTTGCCAATGCTGGCGTGCAGGTGCTTCGCGAGATGGTCAAGTCGTGGTGGGCAGAAGCTTGCAAGGGGTCCACCATGGCTGACGTGATGGTCCAGCACTTGGTTCGTTGGGTCGAGTCGCCAGCCTCGTGTCTGTACGATCGTGCTTTGCACTACTACGTTCAGATGATGAGCCGCAAGGCGCTCCTTCAGCTCATGGCCGATTTCCGTCGTGTGGGATCGCAAGTCATCTTTGCCAGCTCCAACAGACTTTTGCTCCAGACCACCAAGTCCGAGGTGGGCAATGCTTATGCATATTCCCAGTACATCCTCAAGAGCATCAAGGGCAAACCGCTCTTTCACTTTATCGATCTTGAAATCAAGGAGTACTGGGACTACCTGGTGTGGTACGACGAGTTCAACTACGGCGGCAAAGCGACACAAGAAGTTCTCGAGAGGGATGAACAGGACCTGCAAATGATCATGCACTGGCAAATGGCAACCTTCCTCCCCGTCCGCCTGCAGCCCATCTTCCGCGACTGGGTCGTCGAGTTCATCCAGCTGATGCACAGCATCAAGCGACCCTCTTTCGGCAGCGACCCAACAGCCACGCCGCGTCTCACTCAACTGCCCGTCAACATGCGCAACGGCAATCTAGGCGAGGACGGCGCCGTCGGGCAAATCATCCTCGGCAAAGCCTTCGAGAAGCCGCTCAAGAAGGAGATCGCCAACCTGATCAACACGCAAAAGCGCGAGCTCCTGCACCCGGAGCTGGCAGGCGACTACACCTTCCCGCAGCTGCCAGGATCTCACTTGTCTCACCTTTCTTCGTCCACTTCCAAGTCTACTACCAAGAACGCTGCAGGAAAGAAAGTAGCGGCATCGGCCAACCCGGTCCTCGAGCTCGTCAAGGCCCTGATGCAAGTTTTGTCTTTAGACAAGAACATCACGCTCGAAGCGAGGCTGCTGCGCAAGGAACTCCTGGCTATGTTCGACGTGCGCGAGTTCAGCAAGGACGGCGCGTTCCAGAACCCGTCTGAAAGCTTGAGATTGGCCCAGTTCAGCTGCGATAACTGTACCATGGCGAGGGACATTGATCTCTGTCGGGATGAGGATTTCATGGGTTCTGCAGTGTCTGACGTCCCAGCAGGAGGAGCGGCCGGCGAGTTGGAAGTAGCTGGACAACAACAAGAAAAGGGTAGGTGGAAGTGCCCCTACTGCGAAATGGACTACGATCGCAACGAAATCGAGGAGAGACTGGTGGCGGAGGTGGAGGCCATGGTGGTGGAGTGGACGACGCAGGACCTCAAGTGCGGGAGGTGTGGCGCGCTGAGGGTGAACGAGTTCATGGAGCATTGTACGTGCAGTGGCGAGTGGAGAGAGCTGGTTAAGCGGGAGGAGGTGATGAGACGGTTGAAGGTGTATAGGAATGTGGCGAGGTATTATGGGTTGAGGATGTTGGGGGATGTGGTGGAGGGGGTTGTTGGGGGGTTGTGATGTGCTTGTTGTGTTGTCCTGGGCTGTTTCTACCGTGGGCGTTTGAGGCTAGGTAGAGGCTTATCTTGTCCGTATGTTTGTTTACCTTTAGCATTGCAATGCAGGTGTTTGTTTGTTTATTTATCTCAGCCTCCTTTGGCTGATACGTGTTAGCGGCGCTGATAGACGAGCTGCTTCATCATCGATGAGTGGACTGGTGTGGCGCTGGCCGAGGGTGTAAATGGGTAGGGCCATGAAGGAGACATATTGTCCCCTGATTTAATCTTTCAAGTAGACAAGAAGCTCGACATTTATCGGTCTTGAACACGTCAAATGGGCGTCAATCAAAAGCGCATGAGAGCCGCCGGAGGACTCCGACTGTCGTCAAGCCGCCGACTTGGACGCATAAAAGAAACCGTACATGGCGTTGTTAGCATGTTGGCGGTAGGTACCTGCTCGATGTACAGTAGAAACCCTAGTAAATACAACCCCCAGAAAACTCAAATATATATAAAGTTACCTAGTATATGCAAGTATACTGGTGGCCCGCCTTCGTCCAGTCGTATGTACTAGTGTTCGGGGAGGCAGCATAGCTGCCTTCCCTTCCCCGGGCGATGAAAGGCTGGATCCTGGGTTGTAGCCCGTGTAGATGCTGGATACTGGGTTGTACTGTAGCTGAAATAAAAGGTAGGGAGAAACGTTTGGTTTAAAATCGATGTGCAAATGGAGGTGCAAATGGAGGTAGAATTGGAGAGGTCCCGGTAGGCGAACGCGAAGTTCTTGGACCGCGAATGCACTAACAGAAAAAGCGCGAAATTCTGTTAGGCCTAACAATTTATTTGCTGGTAAAAGTGCAGTTTTGGCCGTGCGTTATGAATTGGGTAGTGCAAGCGCGGTTTTGTATGGGGGCCGCCCGCGAAAAGCACTAACACCCTACCCGCACTTTTTTGGGGGTAAGCTACTATATATATATAGAGAAGTGTGACCCTAGTAACTGCGAGACTCCTAGTAAATGCAACTTTTTTGGAGACTCCCCATAGAGCCCGGATTAGTTGCATTTACTAGGGTTTCTACTGTATCTCTACGGCAAGTCACTCCCGTCCGCTCCCGAAAGATCCCTGCAAGTGTTCGGCCCCTGTGAGTCGCGCTGTCACTCGAGAATACAGGGCGCGTTAACGAGCACTAACAGAATTTGTTAAAGTATCAAGCTGTTTCAGATAGTACCCGATAGGCGCTGGAGCGCTAAAGAGTTGTCCTTGGCGTGGGGTGCCACTGCCCGGTGTTACGTTGGCTGAAAGTTTAATTGAACCTCCTGTCAAACGGCTCAACATCAAACCAACAACACCAACACGACATCATCAACATCAACTTCCATTGTGCAAGGTCCGCGGGCTGTTGGATCTTTCGTGATAATGCTGGAAAAAGGAGGACTCCTTCTCTTCATCAGATTTTTTACTAGCGCACGCTGACATGCTCGACAGTCTCAGTACTGTGTAAGCGACCGCCAACCACCACCATGTCGTCGCCCAGTCAACGGCTGGAGCATGAGATAACCGAGCTAACGCCTAGGGCTTACCTCGAGGGTCTGGGGATTCTATTCGATAATGATACATCTTTTCGAACCTCAACAGCAAAATATTACGCTCACTCATTCATTCATCCAATCCACTCCAACGCAAAATATGGCCGCCCGCTTTCTGCGCTTTCTGCACATGTCAAGATGCATTTCCACTTGCACATGCTGCTGCATGGTCCAGCCAGCCCGCTTGGCTTGATGGCGCCCAATTCGCCCAATTACGGCGGACCCAATTTACAGGTGTCGGTTGAGCCGCAGTCTTCACAGTGAAGTTGAACGACCAGAGAAAAGAACCTCGCCAGTTCATCACAGCCGTGTTGGGTTGATACCACTTCTCCGCTGTCATATCACTGGACAAATGAGATGCCAGATGGTACTAGTACTAGACCGCCCCATCTCAGCTCAGCCCTAAAAGGATAACCGTTCGTCAACCGAGCCTATGAACGCAAGCCATGGGAGACACCAACTGTCTTTGTTGCGCCAATCAGATAACCGCATAAAATGAGAGCAAACATTCCAACTGGACGGAGGCTCTTACAGCCCCAACACCCATTTGCCAGTTGGCTCAACTTTGCTTTCTTCGAGACGTTCTAGCCAGCCACAGTTCAAGGCTAACGACTGGTCTGCTTGCTTTTCTACCGCGTCTCTTCACATGCCTAGGTACCTGCCTAACTACCTACCGCTAAGTCTCTATAAGTCGGATTTAATCCCCACGCTATTTTGGCCAATTATTTGGTTTGCTGGGCTGCATGCCACGTTGAGGCGTCAGCATGCAAGTCCTTCACCAGATGTGATTGGCCGTACAATGTGGGGATAAATCCGACTTGAGTGAGTCTTTGCGGTACATAGCCGAGCCTTAAAGCACAACTCACATTGCTCATGTATGGATGCCACCACTTTCCCTTGTCTGGTACAGCAAGCTAATGCATCTCTCAGCTCAGTGACGGTAATCCCGTCGTTATTCCCCATCAACTCTCGCCGGGAGCCTTCATCCGGGATTTCTCGATCTAGATCCATCTCGACCCAAAGGGTCCACCCAGGATATCATCATGAGTTCTACCCACCTTATCATGCTGACTATTTCTCAGAATATGCCCTTAATGCTGTCAACCAGGGTGTAACAGCTCTCGGCATCAAGGGTAAGCTCCCCCTCCCCCACCACAGCCATCACTTTGCTGCTAGGCACGTCTCATGCCCCTCGGGAGGCGGAAGTAGACGTAAAATACACACAAACAAACAAACAAACACCACAGCCATCACCACCATCGTCACTACCACTCGTCACTCCCCTCTACAATTACGGCCTATATACATTCGCTCGCAGATATCACTTACCAATGCAGAGCCGCCCCAGCACGATGGTCGGAGGAGCCGAGGGACCGGGAAGGAGAAGAGGAGAGCTGTGATAACGGACCTTTGACCCTTTTGGTTACGAGTCCATCTCCGCCTCACTAGCCTCACCTTACAGGCCGGTACCTGGCTGTATGACACCATCGTCTCCGTCGTCTCCCCGCCAACTCGGCCATCACCGTGGCCAAGTTCATCCACTCGTGGAACCAGCCCTCCATCATCGCCACGATCCCCGGTACCAGCAGCAACCTGGTTATCGTGAGCGCCCACTATGACTCGACTTGGCGGCTCATTCCACCTCACCTTGCATACCGTTCATTATCTAGTGATGAGAGGAGGAGAGGAAGAGAACTAGCCCATACTCTTGTCATTGAGGCAGCTGTCTCACTTACACGTCATGGTTTAGCACACTCAGTGTGGCTCAACGATAGCGGATTTCACTTAGATTGGATAGTTGGTCCTAATCTGGTGGCCTCCTTTGTTGATGTTCGCGATGCCTGAACGGCACCAAAGGGTTTCGTCATTGCGGTATCGTTGTTTTCTTATCTCGAACTTCATCTTCCCCATCAACAATGAGTTATTGAAAGCTCGTTATCACCCCAAACTCAAACCTTAAAACCCTGCTCTTCTGTTCCGACATCTTCCATCCTCTTTTTTCCGACTCATAGTGCTTTTGTTACTGCCAACGGTCTCGTTTCCTAGTTTTCCATCGTTGCTAGGCAAGATCTGACTCCGAGGAATTCCCATATCCCACGTAACATCCGGTCCGTTTGTCTCGACAGTTCACTTGCATAACGCCGGTGTTACTCCTGGGAGATATCAGCCTCCAGCTAGAGCTGCCCTCGCTCCTCATTCAATCTCTCGTTTTTAAAGCGAGGAAAAATCAACACCGATGGCCGAACAACGTCAACAGCCAACCTCTCACCAAAATGATCCGGAAAAGCGTGACGTTCTGCCTCCGATGGCGCCCCTAATAGCCTCCCACCATCCGCCGGGACCCCATCGCTCCTACTCGGAACCTGTCCCGATGATCAACCAGCACCACCATACTCGCCAGCCACCACGCACGGTGAACTCTTCAACTGACGACGACGACGAGGTCTTGGTCCGCGTCCTCGATCCATCCAAGCTCGAAGAAAACATACCGTCGTTTGAGGACTGGAAACCCGGCAAGCAGGAGCTAGCAGTCATGATAACCATGGCCATCATCAGTCTCATGGTCGCGCTCGACGCCACCATCCTCGTGTCCGTTCTGCCCACGCTGGCTGAAGACTTTGGGGGGACCTCGACCGACGCCTTCTGGGCGGGGACGTCCTATCTCCTCACGTGCGCTGTGTGCCAGCCCTTCATCGCCGCCTTGTCGGACATCTTTGGGCGCAAGGAGATGCTCTTCGTGAGTGTCCTGCTCTTCACTCTGGGCACGGCCCTGTGCGCACCCATTGCCAAGGGGTTTGCAGTGTTCTTTGCTGGCAGATCGGTGCAGGGAATCGGAGGTGGTGGGATTATCACCATGGGCCAGGTCATCTTTGCGGATATCGTGCCGCTGAGACAGAGGCCAAAGTACTTTGCTATTGTGCTGGGAGCGTGGGCGCTGGGGAGCGTGCTGGGACCGTTGATTGGAGGACTGTTTGTTGAGCATGCGATTTGGAGGTGGTGCTTCTATTTGAACGTGAGTTTTCGGTTTCTTGAAATGTGCAGGGGACTATAATCGCTAATGCCACAACAATAGTTCCCCTTTTGCGCAATGGGCTTGCTTCTTGTGCCCGCCTTTGTCAAACTCACCACCAAGAAAACCTCTCTGGGCTCCAAGCTAGCCAGAGTCGACTGGCTCGGAGGCTTCCTCTTCATTGGAGGACTGACCAGCTTCCTCGTCGGCATGTCCTGGGCTGGTATCCAGTTCGAGTGGCGCAGCGTGCAGACCATTGTGCCTATGACCGTTGGCGGCGTCAGTGTCCTCGCCTCCATCGTTTGGGAGAAATATGGCGCTCGTGAACCCTTCCTTCGCGCATCACTCTTCACCTCACGCTCCGCCATCGCCGCCTACGGCTGCGCCCTGTTTCAGGGTCTCATCCTGTTCTGCGCCCTCTACTACGTGCCCTTCTACTTTACTGCCGTCCGCTTCACCGGACCCACGCAGTCCGGCCTCAACATTTTCCCCGTCACCTGCCTTCTCCTTCCAGGATCCATCGTCATCTCCCTCATGACCTCCCGCCTGGGGCGCTTCCGCTGGTCCATCTGGAGCGGCTGGGTGCTCGCCACCATCGGCTGTGGTCTGCTCCATTACCTAAAGCAAGACACCAAGACCGCCGTCTGGGCCGTAATCCTCGCCATCTTCGGCATCGGTCACGGCATGCTCCTGACCAGCGTCAACGTCGGCATCCAAGCCATCAGCCGGGTCGAGGACGCCGGCAGCGCCGCGGCCATGTACGCCTTCATGCGCACGCTCGGCATGTCGCTCGGTGTGGCCATCGGCGGAACCGTGTTCCAGAACGTCATGGTCAAGCGGCTCGAGCAGCTCGGCTTGCCCGCCGAGATCGCCCACAACTCGGAGCAGTTCGTCATGCAGATGGTGGCCATGGACCCCAACGATCCCGTGCGGGTCGGCGCCCTCGACGCGTACGTCGTCGGCTTCCACGGCGTCTACTGGGTCATCACTGGCGCCGGCGTGGCGGCGCTGATCTGCAGCCTTTTCATCCAGCACCACAGCATGGATAAGATCCTGGAGTCCAAGTTTGTCCTGCGCGGCGCCAAGGTGCCGCCTGTCATGTTCACTGATGCAAGGCCGGGACAGACGGTTACGGCGCCGGCGCCTGTCTTGGCGGTTGTGTCGAATCCACATAACAATCACAACCACCACGGTGGTAGTGCCGCTGCTGCTGCTGATTCTCATGCCACAAACGTGCCCGGACGTAACAGCGAAAGACTTCCCAGACTGTTCGGTGGCGGCGGCGGCGGCGGCGGTGGTGGTGGTGGTGGTGGTGCTGCTCACTCCCCTGTCCCATCAAGACCAGCTTTGACAAAGTCCACCGGTTCAGATACAGATAGCACTAATGGCAAAGAAGCGGTGGTAGAAGAGCACAACAACAATGACGGTACCTACGACTGTGCCGCCTCCTCGTCTACCAGTACGGCGGATAACAACAGGGCTCGTGGGCAGAAGCAAGCGCCACAGCAACCGCAGAAGAAGCAACCGCAGTCGCAAGATGGAGGAGAATCTACATATACCGACTCGGAGGCGGCAAGATGGAAGCAAGCCGTGGCGGTGACCTATTGCAATGAGCCTGATGGCCAAAGGTACCCCGTTTTTCTCTTTTCCGAGTCGATCGCCTCACAGGCACAACAAGCACAGGAGGCTGCTGCTGTCAATGCCCATGTTTCAAACAACGCCGGCGCAGGCGGAAGCGGAAGCGGAAGCGGAACCTCCAACAGGCACTCGACGGTCTCTACCGCCTCCCTTTCTTCTCTTTCTTCTTCTTCTTCTTCTTCCTCCTCCTCCTCCTCATCCAGTTCCGCGGACTCCATCGGTTCATCTATCTCGTCCTCCTCCTCTTCGTCGTCTTCCTCGTCGTCGTGCAGCGCCAGCGACAAAGACATCGGCAACAACAACCTTGCGTCGGACGTGGACGAGTCATTCAGCAGCGACCTTTTTCCCGCCTCCGCTGCCGAGCTTCCCCGCGCGGGAATCCTTGTAGTCCGCCAAGTCGAAGTCGTTTCCGTTCCGCGAGAGGAGGTCGAGGCGGTGAGGGAGGAGGAGAGGCATGCTGAGATTGAAAAGATCCCGGGTTCTTCTTACGATGGTAGTAACGGGGGTTTGTCCTCGTCGACGACGACGACGAGTGAACAGAGGCTGGAGAGTGAAAGTGGGAAGGTGGTTGTACCTACCGATCTTCAGCAACAGCAACAACCACAAGATCAACTACGGAAAAGTTCGCCATCTCTAGAGGTTGGGACTTTGTACGAAGAAGATGCCCAGTCGGACTTGAGCGATGAGATCACGGTAGCGGGACCGGGTGGGGTTAATAGAGAGATATGGGACGCTTAGATACGGCGTATGTATAATCAACATGGGGAGAAGAAGAAGCGATGGGATGGGTGGCTGGTTGGTTTGCTTTTCACTCATTGGATATGTATTCATCCTAATCCTCGGGCACATTTTTGCGTACGGAGCACATAAAGGTCGGGCGGGTTACTACTGTGTAAAATATTGGCTGCGGTCGCATTTCTCTTTTGTATTAATAATCTTAAAGTAGCAACAGAACTGTCATTACCTTTCTTTCTTCCGTTGTTGACTCTTTTTTTTCCCTCCGCTTCTTCCTGTCTAGCTGTGACGGAGAGTGGTTTGTTTTAAGGAGGCTTGCTGGGTGTGTGTAGTTGCAATATACCAAAGAGGTGCTGAGGTAGAGGTAGTTATGTCATAGACGTTTGTGGTGTTGCGTTGTGTTCGAAATATCACATGCTCTCTTGTTGGTGTAGCGTATAAACTCGTGAAAGTCGCCAAAAGCTATCCCTCTTTGAGCGCCGGACAGAGGGCATATCTGTGCAGGCAGCTGACAGGACAAGCCCGGGTCCTGTGCACTTGAGTGTGTGTAAGTTAACGTGGTGGGCAATGTCCTCGAGTTTTCACTAACTGGGCGGGCACATATGCTGGCATATGCGTGCTTACGGGGCATATTTCTGGCAGATTTCTGCCCTCTGCCCGGCGCTCAAAGAGGGATAGCGTCGGCCAATCTTCCGAGTTTCTACGGTAACCAAAGGGTCAAACGTCCATTGATTTGTTCACTTTGCTTACTTTGTTCACTCTGAAGTGCGCTGTTTCTCATTACTGCTTGACGCAAACTGGCAAAGTAGGTAGGAAGGAAGATTCAGTGTTTTGATCAATAGAAGTACTTCGTTGTGAACCATCGAGACGGTCTCCTTACTCCGAAGATTTCCCTCCACGCAACCAAGAACTTTCAAGTTGACACTCGATAATAGTAGCACACGACCTCTTAGTACATCCTTTAAACTTCGTATACTTTGCTTTCTAGGTACTCTTTGCATTATCAGCAAAAGTTCTCGGAATTCTTGGGTGCGTGTAGGAAAATGATGGATGCGGCTTGATTTCCAGGCTGTTCCGAGAATGAGGACGGGTTCTAATAGCTCTCAATATTTGGTACTTGGAACGTACGTCTTGCTCTCTCTCCATATTCATCCAAGAACGCATCTTGTACGTGATCAACGGTGCTACGTCCCATCCATATGACCAATTGGAAGTATGTGTCTACCAAATTAGTCCTCCGGGATATAATGTTTTGTCTGGATGACAACGGATCCTTGGATGTTTGTAGTATTACGCTTATTCACCCAAGTATATTACGTGTCAAAACCCGGCTCCATTTCTTGAATGACTTGGTTTCCTCTTCCCAGCGGCGCGAATTCTGGCGGCAATGGCTTCACAGAAGTATGGGTCTACCTTCTTTTCTTTTTGCACATGGTGAGAAGTATCGCCTTTACGGTAGACAAAATGACGATCGACTTGGAAAGAGCATTCAAACGCGCGGCAATTGTGCACCCTCTTCCTGCTTTACCCCCGATATCCCCCCATTCATCTCCAGCCGTTTGACACGGCACATCAGATAGGTAGAGCTGATGAGAATGACACCAACTTACCAGGCACGCATTACTCGACGGTAGTTGTTAAGTTCCAAGTTCCTCACTCTGACTCGACGGATATCTCTTCGTGCAACAACTGACAAACAGGAGACACCAAGAATGCAATCAATAAGTGAAAGATCAAGGAGTGTAGGTATATTATTCATTCGGTGGGCGTAAGTCAAAAAATTACAGGAAGTAGTCAAAAAGATGAGAGTGTAAAAAAAAAGAAGCAAAAAAATTGCCCGCCCGTCTCCGGGATCGAACGAACCGCTTCTACTAGGGAAGCAGACAGCCAGGAGAAGCTAGCTAGGCATCTGACGACTGAACTACCGTCCCCGCGGTGGTCTGGTGACAGTACCTGCCAAACACAGACCTTAAGTACTGCCGTGGGTAGCTATCAGACTTCCATGATCTTGGCTTCCCCAGTATAGAAACGGAAGGAGCCTGGAGCCAGAGCCTGTCCATACCTCCCGTCTCTACCCGGACATACCATTCACTTCATGTCGGGCGTTGTGAATCACCGATACGGTCACCTTTCCCTGAAACCCGACATGACAGCACTGGCTTCACGAAGGTACGGATCTTCCTGCCTTCTTTTGTACTTGGTGACAAATATCACTTTCGGAATCGACGAAATAATGGTCGACTTCAAAACACCGCCTGGACAACGATTGTGCACCTTGAAATCCTACTTTACCTTCGAAATCCTCTCATTCCCTCTCCTCGAGCAAAGAAGGTACCTGGTTTCATCTGCACCCGTGGGGATGAAGACGGTTACTTAGGTTGAGCAGTCGTCAACCAGCCAGCAAACCTCATTTTCACGGGTAGAGGTACCTATGTACTTTACAGCAACTCAGTACCTTACCCATGGTTTGCAATTCCCTTAAGCAACCTCCAGCACTTCGACTCTCCAAGTTTCCTTACCTACCTCTACTGTCCGCTCGCTCTTTCCCATTGCTCTCCATCGCTCCTTCGTTTATACCCACCCTCCGACCGCCAGTCCAGGTGGGGAAGGGGCGACCCGACGATCTGACATTAGTTGCGTCCGAGTCCCGATTGGACTGATCCAACCTTCGCCCTCCATACCTAGCTCTGGTCCCTTCTCTTGGACGGCAGATAGTAGACCGGCAGCAGCAGCAGCGATGAGCTACTCTACCCTACCTACCTTATGTAGCCAGACAGACAGACGCGATGAAGGACGGGTTGAATTGAAAGAGAAAGAAAAAGGAAGTTTAAAAGAAAAAAAAGAATAAAGGAAAAGAGTAGGTATTTTGTCGCCATGTAGGTAGACGAGGCTTGGAGCGAGGAATTCATAGGTCCAGACGACTCGTAAATAATAATGTGAACTCTTCGACTACTTTGTCGTCGTATCATCAAAGGCATCTTGCCCCGGAATAGCTAAGATCTCCATATCATTCTGGCAGACACTCGCGCAAATGAATCAATACTTTCCTTTTCTGACTTCTCATGGCATTGAAGCTACAGATCCCATCCATCGCCCATTTCATTGTAAAATCCACTCGTCAGATGATTTGCTGGCATCTCCTCGCATCTGCCCTCGTGCATTATCGATAAAGTAACCATATGAAAGAGGAAGCATTGCGACGAAACTGAATGCCAATGCATTAACGCTACGCAGTGACCCATAATGATGATGATGATGATGATGATGATGATAGTAAATGATATCATGGCCAAACCGAAGAAAGATAGGTAGAGCCCATGATAAAAGTAGAAGAAAAAAAAAAAATCAGGACGTATCCGTAACCTCCGGCCTTGCAACGTTTTATCTCTCAAATAATGTACCAGAAAACAGCCGTTTCTCCTTTCCTGTAAGTAGTAAAATGATTCATTACACCGTGCACATCCAAAATGCCCCTCCCTCCGCGCGCGTACGCGTCATTAATCCGCGGTCAGGTCATATCCTTGTCTCTTGCTCGTTCTCTTTCTCCTTCTTGACCTCCACTGTCTCCTGTTGAGCAGCTGTGGGCTTCTCCTCCTCCTCCTCCTCTGGAGCGGCCGGTGTTGTTTCCGCGGCTACCATGCGGATCTCGTTGCTCATAGGCTCATTAACCGTATCATCTTCCTCCGAAATTCTCTTGCTGCTTTCCTTCTCCATCGTCGTCTCCATAACCACGACCTTTTCCTGCTGTTGATCCTTCTCCCATGGCACCGGGCCGAGCATACCGGCGCCGGCAAGACCATCAACATCACCGTCGACGGGCGGGCGCAACATCTCGGAAGACCTGACAGAAAGAGAGGAAGCGTCGTCAGAAAGGGGAGAGCGAAGTACACTGCCACTGGCGGCGCTGGCTCCATCGCCTCCTCCAACCGGCCTAGGTCCTCGCGGTGGCGTCATGCGTCCGGGCGAAAATGGAGCGCTCTGCACACTCGAGGGTCGGGATCGGCGCTGCATCTGTCTATGGGATCCATTATGAGGGGAGTGAGAATAAGACGACCGGGCCCTCGACCTCGACCGCTCCCTTTCGCGTTCCCGATCCATCGGCATACCGCCCAAGTCCATCCCCTCAATTCCCGGAACTCCAAGGAATTGGCTCTCGCCCCTCATGCTGACGCGTGCCGCGCCCGGTGGAGTGCTGATGTCGCTATAGATAACATCTCCGCCAACGGTTGTAGATGATCGGATCCCGGCAGCGGCACTAACAGCGTAGGGCGATTCGTCAAAGGACAGCTTGCGTTCCACGGGGTTTGGTGGCGATGGCGTGGAAAACGAAGCGGTGGAGGAATGCTGGGATTTTCGGAATAGATTCGCCTTTGACCTAGCTGCTTCTGCGGCAGCTGCTTCGTCGAAACCATAGTCGGACATCTGGAACGGGTCATTTCGATCTTCTTTTTTGTGCACCTTTTTCCGGCGAAGGTGTAGGAGATATGCTACTATAATGGTGGTTGCCGCGACGAAACCGCTACAATTCATTGTCAGTATTCGAGGTCTGGCGGGTGGCATGTCGTTCCAACTAGTGTTTATTTTTGGTGTTTCCATTTCGGGCAATTGTCAGGGGTGGTGGCGGCGCCTTGAAAGGACATCGACCGGGGGATGCGACGGGTTAGGTTGAAGGAAGAATACGAGGAAATTGCAAACACTCACAGCACACTGCCAATTATCGCCCAGGTAACATTTGAGGTTGCCTCTGCTGGCTTCTCGCAGAGGTTCACGCCCGGCTGTGGCGAACAATTGGGATCAGTACTGCGTTTTTGTGTCGCAGAGGCAAGAGATGCCCGGATATGGTGGATTGCGTCGAAAGCGGCGCGCTTGAAGGTCGTAGACGACGGCGACGATGATGATGGGAATGAAGACCGACTCGACATGGGAAGAGGATCTTGTCGTCGCGACATGGCGGCCATTATCGGTGGTGATGGGCGACTTTGAGCTTGTGAAGATATTAAATGTTGTTGAACCTCGAGATGCAGCCCCCAGTTGGTGCTCGCTCCCCTTGTTGTATTTTTTTTTACGTTTCCAACAATATATCTTCTCCGCGACACCAAAATGCCGATCGCTTTGCTGGGTTTGGACTCCTTTTTTTTTTTGCAACGTGCAGTTGCACAGCAACGGACTCGATCGCCGATGCGTAAGGTAGGTAGAAAACGAATGGATGATTACCAACTCTAGGGTTGTGGTGGAGGAGGAGGAGGGTTGTTGGAGGCGGTGATCCCGTTTGGTGGTTCGCTTAGCGCGCCCGCCGTCAGTTGGTTTGAGGTTTTGCTGAGGTGTCGATGTACCTGATCAACGGGCGTCCAAATCAACGATAGTGTAAGATGTTGTCCAGAAAGAAAATGTCTCTTTGGCAGCGAAATGGAATTGGCCAGGCCCCGTTGTCTGATCAGGTTGTCTTTCGTATTTTTCCCTCCCTTCTTTCTCAATCCCACCGTTTCACGATTGATGTGGTGCTCGTAAGATTCGATGCCGGGAAAAGCGCCGAGCGGCAGGTTCCACTGGCTGGACACTGGCTGGTCGTTCGGCGGGCAGTTCTGTCAGTACCCGCGTCTAGAATTACCTCTAGCGAATTTAGTGAGTTGCGTCCGCTATCCGTCGTGCTGCTCCCTGGAATTCCGCTTCCTCTCTTTCAATTCCTTCGACAAGGCCGCCCGGGGTGGTGATGCAGAAAAGCCGCAGCGAGTGAAAATGGAGGACTGGTGGGCGGGAGAAATGAGGAAGAAGAGAAGGACAACGCAAAAGCACCATGGACCCAGCAAAAAGATAAGGGGGGAATACCTGTAGCTATGTTGATCACGGAGGAAACGTGAAGAAGCTGGAAAAGGAAAAGAAAAGAAACCTGAATCGCCAGAGAGCCAAGAAGTGGAAAAGTGGATGACGTTACGCAGCGCCGAGCCGGGCTCAAGCCGGGCTGTTCCTCCCGCCCACCGTCGAATTATGGCAGTTCGTTCTGGGCTTTCTGTGTGGCCCCTGTTTTTATGCTTTGACTGCCTGGCTCCATTACAGTCACAAGCTCCAGGTTTCTTGCTCCAACTGCTCCAGCTGCTCCAGCACAAACAGCTCCAGTGCCGTGGACCGTCCAGCGTGGAGGTGGTGCAGCGGCCAGCGGGACGGTGCCATGGTGCTTGTGTTTCGTCTTGCGAGTGCCGTTGTGTCTTTGGCTGCTGCCGATTGTATCACCCTTCATTGGAAGGGATAAGGAGGGGATGATCGCCAACACGCAGGAGCCAAGACGTGATTGGCGAAACAAGCGTATGTCCCTGGCAGTTTCCGTTTGTCTGTTCCTGGCACAGCACGTCCATGCCCACGCCCATCGCCCACGCCCATCGCCCACGCCCGGATACAGGGCAAGTGGGAAATGCACGGCAGATGCCTTTACACTAGAGGAAAGCAGAGACGAGACTTGTACACACAGGGGCAGCTGTCAGGGGACATGGATGCTTGGCGTGCTTCATAAAGGTCTTTGCGGCTTGTTCTGTGCTGCCACACCATCTCAAATTCTCAACGGTCACCGTCCTCAATCTTCATTCCTTCAACACCAATCTCAACTCCCGCGTTGCACAGCAGCACACTTAACGCCGCAACATAGCATGTTACTCGGGCGCATCCTGCCGTGTGGCTTCGAAACCCCCATATCCGGCGCATCGTGTTTCAATCCGAGGACCCCGAACCATGAAAAACTCGGGACCCCTTGAGGAGACAACCATGAACCAACCTGAATCTCAAAATGTTTCTCCGACGGACTCGAACGCAGGGCATGCTTGGCTGATGAGGGCCAAGCAACCTCTGCCATGCCCGTTGGACATGAACACTCGTAAATATTTCAGTGCTGGGTGGTGCTATAACCCAGATGACTATAGCGAATGAAGTCATTGTGACCCCTAGAAGCTGAACCCGCAATAGGACCGAAAAAATTCACAGTTCGCGAAACAAACAAGGACTTGTCGCTGGCGGCTTATCGCTTCCTTGTCGTCTGCTGTGGGGTCGCCCGTCTCTTGCGTAGGATGCGCGACTTTGGCGGCCGCTGGTCCCAACTGGGTTAATCGACGTCATTGCCGGATGCACGATCCGTTGCGGCTGGTCAAGGCTTCAGGCACTTGGCAGGCATTTGCACGCCCCCCTTCAGGGCGTTTTAGCCTCTTAGGTCTCATCGTAGTCCTATCCTGGCTTTGCTGGCTTCCAGGTTGCCTCCAGTGGCTTCCCGTCTCCTCCGAATCGTCCATCCCGCGCGAGTCAGGGGTGGTTGGGCCAGCGATGCGACTGTAAACTGTCAGATTCAAGGGTGGTTTTAGCCATATCATATGGAGGTTAGCGCTCCAGCCACCTAATATTACCTGATTTCTAGGCATATCTAGGTTATCCTAATACTCCTTATACCTTCTAGGTGAATCAGTTATACACACTCTTCAATTAATTAATTTTATACTATTACATTTGATAATTAATAGTTTGATTTGCGTATTTACGTTTAATACTATAATTATCAATTACAAGCAATATTCCTATGAAACTAATAACGTTAACTATATCCTTATTAAAGGAATCTACTGATAAGGCTATTACAGTTATCCTTAATACCCCTACCGATTAGCCTAACTAGTATAAAGCTCTTAAGAGACTCGCTAGTAGTAATTAGGACTTTAGTAATTAATTATTTAAGAGAAGACTTATAATTTAGAGGGTTCTACCCCCGAAATCGGAAGACTTCTTCCTTACTAAGTAAGTAAAGAACTACCTTCTAATAGTAAAGAAGGAGTTCGTTAAATTTAATAGAGGAATCCGGGTTAAAAAGGCCGTAATTATAATTATAATAATTATTACTATTATAGTTATTAATACGAATAGTACTATTACTAAAATTATTATTATTATTTTACTTTAAAAAGAAGCCGCTACCGGCGCTAACGAAAATAATAAGGAAGGAAATTTAGGAAAAGAAGACGAAGAAGACGAAGAAGAGGAAGAGGAGGATAATAAATATTATATTAAATAAAATATTAAAGAAGATATAATTATTACCCCTTTTACTAATTTAATAATTATTAGGAAAGTAGTGTATAATTAAATTAATAATATATATAATATTCGTCATAAATATTAGAAAGATTTTAATAACGCTAATACCTGAATTTATAATTAGATAAGTATTTATATTGCTATTTATTATACCGATACTTTATTTAAATAGAATAAATTTATTTGCAATTAGTTTAGAGAAATTAAGAGTTAGATTAATTATCGAGCTATCGATTAAATTGTTAAAGCTTATTGAAATTATTAAATCTTTATTAAAGAAACTACAAAGAAGCAATTTAAGGATTTCAAAAAGTGGTTATCCGATTGGGAAATTTTTATTATATATAGGAAGAGATTCGGAATTAATGAAGTAATTTCCCTTATTTTATAGTTTACCAATTTTATTAATATAGTCTGTAAATATAAGCCTATTTAGGTTAGCAACTTATAGAAATTCAATAATAAATTTAAAGAAATATTTTTAAAATATAAAGATATATCCGTTAATTTTAAAAACGTTAATATATTAGAATATATTATATTATTAATTAATTTTAAAAAGGTTATACTTTATAACATTTAAGGTATTGGCTGCTTTAGTTTGTAAGAATTTGTATTTAATAAAGAGAACGCTCTTAATTTTAATTATAAAAAGAACTAGAAAATAAATATAAAAACAAATACGGCGTAGATAAATAAAGGATTCTTTACGGCTGAAAAAGAGAGGAGGCGTTATGCCGCTTTGTAAGGTTTACGAGCGAAGCCTTTATTTAATAATACGCTACTAATATTTAATATTTAAAATTGAAGATAATTTTAAATAGAAATTAAGCGGCCCTATTTAGAAATTTATTAATAAGAACTTTAAGAAGTATTCCGAGATTAGTAAAGAGGTTGAGAAGGTTAAGAATTAAATGCGGGATTATTTTATTATTTCTATATAAATTACTATTTCGAAAAATTCAAAGAGATAAGAAATTAATATTTATAATTTAATATTTTTCGTTAAATAAAGTATTTTTAATATGAATAGCGGTAAGAATAATGTTTATTTATTTAAGAACTTTATAATCTTCGATTCCGGAGCTTCTATTTATATTTCTAATAAAATTAATCGTTTTTCTTCGTTTTAAGTAACGTCCTTAAAAGATTGTATTTAAGTTAGTGAATTTTAAATACTTACTAAAGGTTTTAAGATTATTAACGTAGAAATATAGGGAGAGAAGGGAATTTTGAGGCTATAGTTAAAAGAGGTAGCCTTCTACTTTAATTTTATTATAAATTTTATATTATTACGCCTATTTTGAAAGTAAGGTTTTTATTAGGATTATAAACCTTTTAGTAGTAATATCCATTAGTTAAATGGTTTATTCTTTTATTTCATTTAAGAAATCTATTATTAAATAGTTTTCGAATATTTACTCCTCTACGTTAATTGTACTACTTTTTTTATTCGTTAAAATTGCTTTAATTCCTTTACTGGCCGTTGCGTATATAAGATGTCCGCTAAATTTTAATATAAACGATTCGGTTATTATAATTTTTAAATCCTTAAATATTTTTATAACGTTGAGGGCGCTAGATTTAAAGAGCCTGCTATTTATTAATACGATGCGTATAGTATTTTAAAGATTAAATAATAAATTAAACGAAAATTACGAAATAGGAGATTTAGCCCAGGAGAGCATTTTGCTGTTAATTTCTTCGAATATAAAATAGAGAGAGGTAGCTTTAATTATATTATATTTATTATTTATCGATAGATTGGATTCGTTTGGGATATTTATATAGCGAATTAAATAGTTGAGGCTATCGTTGAAGCATTCCTTTCGGTTATCGATATAATTAATTACTAATATAACGTTAAGGTTAAATATATTAAGTACGATAATAAATTTAATACCTAATACGCTAGGGATAAATTAATTATACGTTTTATTATTTTCGAACCTTTAATATTTAATGTTCAAATTTAAAACGGCGGTACTAAATATTTAGGGGGTATAATTAAAGAAAAGGCGCGTATAATAATAAATAGCGCTAAATTTCCTTATAATTTCTAGCTTTAAATTGTTTTAATTTTAGTTTACTCTATTAACTGATTGCTTAAGTTATTTTATAATTGGAAGTTACTATACGAGCGGTTTTATACTTTCGTAATTTATTGTAAGGGGGTATAAACCGAGCTTTATAAGCCTAATTTCAATTATTTACGTATTTATAGTTATAAAATATACATAATA